AATGATACTGTGTAGCTCGTCTAAATATCTAGTCTAAAATGGAGAATAACTGTATGTAATTTGAAGACCATTTTGACAAAATGTGATTTGTTTTAATGTGATCCAAGTGTTGTGTTAAACTGGTTCCTGTCTGGTTCCAGTCCGGACCAGTCCCACACAGTCGCTCCTGCAGACTCCTCTTCATTGTCTCCACATTCTTCATCACCTCGCCGCTCCTCCACCTCATTCCCTTCCCCTCAAGCCTCCCCTTCTCCCTCCACGCATCACCACCACTCCCCCTCCTCTCGTCCCCCCTCCCCAGCGTCCTCCGAGCACAGAGTCTTCTTTCTCCCCCGGGCTGAGTTGAACTCCGGGAGCCGACCGTCAGCTACAGCCTCCAGAATCCAACGAGTGAGGAGATCAGGCCCCCAGGGGCGCAGCAGCACGGTAAGACGATAAGGGGTAAATCACAACAGCATTATTAGGTGTAGTACGTGAGTGTCCAAACTTTACCTTGTGTTTGAAATCATTCACACAGAAACACAATCATATTCAATAAAACACTTAATAGTGTCACCGGCATTACACCTATTACAACCTTTAATGTTACACTGAACTAGGGATGGGCATTTCTTAATCGATCGTCGGAAGAATTAACGATCGATTATCGATTAATCATTAATGTTTTTATATTAAAATGATCATCATTATTATTACTATCTGCACTACTAAGCTGCATAAATAAATTCAACTTTACGACATATAAACCGTAACGACTCTAGAGCCACATCAGCCCGTTTGACATTATAATGTGTTTAATTCAGTTTTCTCACAGAAATGAAACTTAAAACCGCATGGCTAATTTGCATAAACTAAGTGAAGATAAAACTCCAGCTCTTGTGTCGCTGATGTGGTTCAATTTCTGTCGGATTAAAGGACATGACTCAGGTGAATACAGGTTAGTGTGACCAGATTTGCGTTTGTCAAAACCAGGACACCGTACGGGGGGAGGGAGGTGGGGACTCGTCATCAACATTGTGCGACTCTCACCTGGCAAAACTTTTTCCCACTGGACACAGAAACATATGTGCTGCTTTATACACTGTGCACATGGACTCACACTTGTCCCAAACGCAACGGAAAGCGTGGAATTTCTTGTACAAGTCATCGTTAAATACGCATTTGTGCTTCGGTACGTTGCAGACTGACCCACTGTTTGTGTCTCGCTCCTTCTGATGCAGAGAGACACATGTACTGACCCCTGTTTGGTCACACTACACACAGCAACCTACATTCAGTTTGTCGATTAAAATGAACGTAATCAATGAAATTCTTAATGATCAATTATCGATTAATCGATTAATCATGCCCATCCCTACACTGAACAACTGGAATCAGAACAGGTTTTACTACTGTTGTCAGTGAACAAAATGTACAAATAGTTTTCAAGTGTGAAAAATAGTGACTTGAGTCCTCGGTTCAGTTTGGAGCAGTTTGGAGACTGGTTCAGTTCATGGGCTGTTTGGCTACAGAAGCTGGTCATTCTGAATACTGTATCCTGGGTCAGTCCTGGTTTAGTCCTAAATTTACTCCTGGTTTAACCTTTAGTCCTGGTTTAGCCCCAGTTTAGGTCCTGTTTATCCCCTCAGTCTGGGTTCATTATAATCTTTCTAATATATACCGCTGTGTTTGTGAGTGTGTGAAGTGTAAACAGTGTCCCTCCTCTTACACAGCCCTGCTTCTCTGAGTACATGTCGGCACAGCACCAGAGCAGACGGAGGAGCGTTCAGATCTTCTTCCGTCGGACCCATCGTGGCAGGAGGCAGGGGATGCACCTCCCTGTGACCATCCCATCCAGCTGCTGGTACACAGGAGTGGGCAGTCTGGTGTGCGCCCATTGTCAGACCCAGCGCTCCTTCCAGAGAACCTCCTGGATGTGCCTAGAGTGTAGAGTCCCTCTGTGTTTGTACACATGGAGGAACTGCTACAGCCAATGGCACAGCGGAGAGTGACAATATGTGTGAGGTTCTGTTAAAGGTGCACTGTGGAACTTTTCTGTAGAAAGTTATACCAGGTTATTGTCTCCATGATATGATTAGATTTAGGACAGAATAAATGAGAAAAAGATGCATTACACATTTTAAACACAAAACAATACTTTTTTTTTTTTTTTTATTACACCATGTGGTCTTACACTAGCTCTTACAAAACTCAGGATGAAACTGTTCAGGAAAGGTCCTATTTATCGGGTGTGTGATTTTTATTCAGTTTCGGTACCTCAAATGAGTATCTAGAGAGGTGTCCCAGCTCACAGTAACAATAGTAAGTTTGAAGGGCATTTTTGAGCCATTGTTACACCTGTAATGGAAAAAAACAAAAACAATTGAATAGGTAGTGCCATACATACATTTCAGACAAAGTCCAAACATCACCATGGAGACAACTGACTAGCTATACAGTGCACCTTTAAAGGAATTTGTGTGTGTTTGAGTTCTCAGGTTGTATTATGTCCTGGTCTGGGTTATTTGACTTATTTCTGTCTGACCACAACCTCATTGAATCTTTAACACGATAATGATGTTCGTTCACTTAACTTCTGCTTGACAAATGTTGTTTTGATCAGTGCTGTTCACAGTGTAACTAAAAGAATCGTAAAGGTAAGTTATGTTGTCACGATATTAGAATTTAAAACTTGATTTGATACGAAAAGAATCGACTCGATACTTGATACTTGATTTTAATATTCAATTCTGATAAAATTCAAGATGAAACTGTTCAGGAAAGGTCCAATTTGTTTTTTTCAGTATCAAAACCTGCTCAAACGAGGATTTAGTAATACAAGTAGTACCTGGTGTCATTTTTGACCATCCTAGTATGTTAAAAACAAATGATGCCAGGTAACTGTGAAATGAAGAGAGCTTATTTGCATTTCATATGACATTGTATTAATTTCATGTTGCTTTAAGACTATAATGTCTTAAGTGTATTTGCAAAACCAATCGCTGCCTCATTCGACAAACTGGGAACTGTTATCCTGTTCCCAGTATTGTTTTAGTTGCATCTTCGAGACAGACCAATATATTGGGCTGATATTTGGACTGTTTAACATATCGGCTCTCAGCATTAAATCTCCAGTTATCTCTTATACAAAGATCTAACTGTACAAAACATGACTACTTAGCTCTCTGAAGGGTTTGTGGTGAAAAATATAGCAGTGGGTAAGTTTTTTTTTATCAATTTACAGCCCCAGTGTATTGTATTTATCTTATAACATCGACACTGTTATGTCAAAGTTCTTCTAAATGCTAATTAATAACTGAAATACATTTTTAATTGTATTTGTAATTTACAGATTTTTCTTGTATTAGATCTTGGAATAGAAAAGATTGGAGGTGCATTGTTCAGATACTGTATTTTTGTGCCATAATGTTAAAGTTAAAAATAAATGATTGTGTTTAGTTCAACATTTTGTCTCATGTGTTTTTTAAAAGGGAAATAATGTTGATAGTGTAAAATCCTGCTTCCGAACTTACAGTTGTCTAATGTAAAATGGTCTCAGTATTGTAAATAATGATTTAATTCACTTTTCTATGTAATTTATGTTTAACTTATATTGTGATGTATCATTAATCCATCACAAATAACCATAGAAGTCGCAGTTGCCTCCATATTTGAGTTAAATCCAGGTTCAGTCCTGGATTTGGTCCATTTCTGTTCTGTGATTGTGACTTTTTTAGTATTGATAATTGTTCAAACGAGTATCTAAGTTCGATGCTACTTTTGGTATTGTTAAGTATCTGATTTTTGTGGACAGTAAGTTAAAAATATCAGTTTGAAGTTAAGCTGAGTTTGTGTTAAAATCCAGGTTGGACTGGTTGAATACTCCTCTGTGATACTGTACTTGTGTGTGTGTGAGAGTCGGGGAGTCCTGACATTTTTCTGCCCAAAGTGGTTGTGTTCTGGAGGAGGGAGCGCGGCTGTTTGCGGATCTGTGTTTGGATAATTTTAGACGCGTTGGTGTGAAATCTCCAAGGCTTTTGTGGCTTTAATCAAAGAAAATCTGGAGAAACAAAAGAGAAAGAGGGACAGAAGGAAGGGGAGAGAGAGGGGGGAGAGAGAGAGAGACAGAAGGATGGAGAGAGTGGGAGGGGGCTAGAGGAGGGAAACAGGAGAAAGAGAAGAGAGAGGGGGAGAGAAGAGAGACAGAAGGATGGAGAGAGTGGGAGGGGGCTAGAGGAGGGAAACAGGAGAAAGAGAAGAGAGAGGAGGAGAGAAGAGAGACAGAAGGAAGGAGGGAGAGAGCAGAGAAGGATAGAGGAGAGCCATGTGGAGAGAGGGAAAGAGGAGAGCCATGTGCGGAGAGGATTTGATTAATTCATTTGATTAACTTGTGAAATAGGTTTACTCCTGACTTTCTTACTTGCAAAACAGAGTTATTGTGCAATTAAACAACTGACACTATAAACAAATATCATCCCAACTTAAACTATTCAAATGTGATTACATATCTGTATGAATGAGATGTGAGTCCCTGTTCCGACTTCCATTCAAATCGTAATTGTCCAAGCTCTATTCTTGGGTCTAGATACAGAAATAAATGATCAGGTTAAACATGTGTGCATTCACCTTTTAGATATTTCCTGTGAGAATACAGTGTTATCAATAGGAGGAAGTTTCTCTGGCCCGCATGTGGTAGTTAGATGTAACACTGTAGAAAGTGAAAGCCCCTTTGTGCTCACGTCTCTTCTAGTGTTTCTTGTTCCAGGTGATCTTAAGGTCATATGTGCTCACTTGTCCTCTGGTGTCTGTTGTTGCAGGTGATCTTCAGGTCATAAGTTTAGAATCATCTGTGTGCTCACTTGTCCTCTGGTGTGTGTTCTTGCAGGTGATCTTCAGGTCATAAGTTTAGAATCATCTGTGTGCTCACTTGTCCTCTGGTGTGTGTTCTTGCAGGTGATCTTCAGGTCATAAGTTTAGAATCATCTGTGTGCTCACTTGTCCTCTGGTGTGTGTTCTTGCAGGTGATCTGGGTGTGTAATAACTGCCGTAAACAGCAGGAGCTCCTGACTCGACCAGGAGACTGGTTCAGCTCAGACTCTGCTGCTCTGGGGTCGGCCGTCAGTGAACCCTCCGTGTGTCAAAGGTCACGCTCCCAAGCTCCCGCCCCCTCCATCCACGCAGCACCAGGCTCCGCCCCCGCCTCCCTTGACCCCAACAGAGCAGCTCCACCAGGGGGCGTCGCAGGAGACCCACGGTCACGAAGCGAGCCACCACGAGACGTGTAAGGAGCATTTATGTGTGTGGGGAGTCTGCATGCTCTGTCTGTGTCTGGGTGTCAGCCTGAAACTGAGTGCTGAGTGCTGTTGGACTAGAATGTGCTCAAATGTGCCTAAAAATGTCTTTTTAGAGGTTCAACGTGAATGGACCAAAGCATTTTTAACTGCAGACCGTTGTGTAGGAGATTACTCTCAACTCTGTTCAGATTTTTTTACTGTCACTTTTACTAGTTTTATTTATAGACAAATAGACTTTATTGATCCACAAGGGAAAGGGGCTTAGACACTGTAGCTCACACATCACAAGTAATATAATAACAAGGCACAAAAATATAAATGGTAAAAATTTCAAAAATAAGTAGCAAAAATAGCAAAGACTGGTGTCATAATTATACAAATGTATATCTACAAGTAAAAATGTAATATATAAATATAGTAATACAAAATATATACTTGCATGTTTTACCCACGTCTGGATATCAAATGAAAACATTTAGAATAGTCCTCCAGATAGGTACTCTGGCACACATCTGGCGTCCACTGCTCCTGACAGATTTAAACCAGAGATTAGGGCTGCATGAAAAAGATCTAATTGTGATTGTGATCAGATTTGTGATTTACGTTTTGACAAACTAATACAAGAATCATTTCAGAACATGTTTATACAGATCTACATGATCTACATGTTAGCAGTTTTATGCAGCACAGACAGAAGAATTTGTTGTTTGTGGAGGGAACTGTGGTACTTCAATATATGTGTCCATTCAAATTGCAATTTCGATTTGATTACAATTAATATTACAGCCCTATGAAAGAGGGCGCCATTTGACATGGGTCAAATGCAGAGGACAGTCTACCTTAAACTTTTGTTATCCTCTCTGAGAACTAAATGTCCCTGTGTCAGATGCCCTCCCTCCTTGTGCCTCCATGGGGGCCCTACCAGGTAATTATATCGGTACAGCAGCATTTGTAGTTGTGTTTTGTAGATCATCCGTTATAACTTTTTTTTTTATGACTGATGCAAATTGTTTATTATTATTATTTATATTTGAGGATGATATGTTGGGCAGATTCAGATTATTTTCTCTAAATGATGTCATTAAAATTGACTAGAAACTCAGCCATAGCCCTTTTTTACTACAGACACTGTAGCTGTAGTCACATTTTGTGCAACTATCTCTTTGCTTTAATGTGCTAATAAAGATGTTTGACCCATCCACCAGTGTCTGTAAATGTGTCAGTGGACCCATCTCCAGGGCTGAGCCTGGATCCTGGTGGGGAGTACCTAGCTGGAGGATTACCCAACATTGCAGTTTGATTTTGAGGCAGCAGTGGTTCTATAAGCTGGTGGTTTGTGAAGTCGTATTGTTTCTGGTGTTATTCTTATTGTTGGAACAATGCGCTCTGTTCCCTCTGTGTACTGTTCTTCACTTCTATTAATAGACAGTAAAGTTAACAATGAAATCACTACAGGCTGCACTGGAGCTGGAGGAAACCGGAGGAGCAGAGCCACGCTTTACATGGGACTTTAATATAATGTCTAGATTTGATTTCAACCAAGGGGAATGTGATGTTTCATTATTAAAACAGCTCTGACATCAGGAAGCAAAACATGACTGATGTATTGTACTAGATGTCAGCAGCTTTGGAGGAGCAGTCTATGGGAGACAGGAGCAGGCAGGAGCAGATAGGAACAAACAGGGGCTGATAGGAGGAGGCAGGAGCAGGGAGGAGCAGACAGGGACTGACAGGAGCAGACAGGGCCTGTCAGGTGATTGCAGGAGCAGACATACACTGAAACATTCTAACATATGTGTCTCTGATTTCAGGAGGAATGGTCGCGGGGGCGGAGCCGGCGGCCGCACTCAGCCCCGCCTCCAGACTCAGGTGTCGATGGACAGAGACCTGCGCGGAGAGAGAGAGCGCAGAGAGAGCAGACGACTCACCAAAGGACGCTCACTGGAGCACGACCCTGTGGGAGGGGGCGGGGTCAAACGGACCGCGGACCAATCGGGGCCTGTGCCCTCCGGGGGGCGTGGCCAGGCCATACAGGGGCAGGGGCCGGAGGGGTTAGGCCCGGGACAGGGCCCCGCGGCTGGGCTACAGTCTCAGACAAACCCACCTGAGCTCAGAGAACCTCCGCACGGCCTGGCCGTCAGACGGACCAAACGCGAAAAGGCCGAAAGTATGCTACGCAATGATTCGCTCAGCTCTGACCAATCAGAATCACTCAGGCCGCCGCCCCCACGCCCATATAAGTCAAAACGCGGGGCGGGCGGGAAAAGGCAAACGAGTATGAGCAGCTCTGAAGAAGAGGGCGGAACCACGCCAGAGTACAGCAGCTGTGAAGACGCAGAGATCGAGAGTGTCAGTGAGAGAGGTGAGAGGGGAGGGGGTGGTTGGTTTGGTTGGTGAGGTTTGGCAGCCATGTGTTTCAGTCTGCCCCAGGGCAACTTCAGCAGGACAGCCCCATGTGTGAGTGACTGAGCTGTGTTTAACATTACAATGTGTGACTGAAACCTGGCCTTTTCTTTGTGGTTATAGTGGATTTGTGCTTTCTTCTTTGTGCGACTTCTCCCTGTGCACATTTTATCTTAGCTTTTCAAAACCACTTCTATTTTTGCTTCTGAAGTGTAAGCAAAAGGTTTCCGCTGCTACAAAAGGAACTCATACATTACTGCCAGTTCATGACCTAAAAGTGGGTTAGTTTGAGAAAAGAGGGAACCAAAAGCATGAGAAAACACAGAGGCTGTGCTGCAGTGGTGTCTGCAGCCGCCATCTTGGATCTGGCATGGTTAAGGGGTCCAAATTGAGTCCAAATGTGGATCAAACACGGGTCAAGTGCAGCGGTCACTGTCACATTCAGAACGGCCTTTGGGGTCAGAAGAAAACAACACAACATGACAGAAACATGAGGATCTAACTGTGAAATCAGCCTAGTAGGCATTCGACCATAGGAAATTTTGGCTCACGATTATCAGGGCCAAGTGAGTGAGTAACTGGGTTAAATATAAATACTAGGCTACATAAAAACTGTAGTAGAGAAAAAAATGGGGACAACTGCAAAGCTTTGTGATTGTGAATACATTTGCATTTTATGTTTTAATAATAGGATTCTGTTCATAGTTCACATTTCATTTCATTAGGGTTATATTACATGTTTGTACAGAATACACTTATGCAGAATAAGGAGGAAATGGTGGTACATCAAAAGTTACAGCTTGTGATTTGCTAATTGTGATGTTGATTCGATTGCAGCCGTAAATATGAAGCACTGTTCCAAAGAAGACAAATAAGGCTGCTGCTCTGGTCTGTGTGTCTGTGTGGTCTCAGGTTACATAACCACATTAGACCAGTGTTTGTGCTGGACTCTGTTTTACTCCTGTCACAACCAGAGACTATAGAAATGAAATAGCCAACCTGCTAGCCACCACGTTCCTAATAAAAAGTGAGCATGGGTGCGATTTGGCTCCATTGACTCTGTTTTGAATTTCTTATTTCTTATTTTATTTATTGATAAAGGGACAGTACATATTAATGAACATTAAAAATGTTAATATGTAAAGATTATAAACAACATGGCTCATTTCCATCTTCAGTCCCTCGGCAGGTTGATGTAAAATCATCTACAGGGCAAAAGAAAGTACAACAACAATCACACAAAAGTACACAACACCAACACACTCACTATACACACAACACACTCACTATACACACAACACACTCACTATACACACGACACACTCACTATACACACAACACACTCACATACACACACACACACACACACACACTCACACACAACACACTACATACACACAACACACTCACTATACACAACACACTCACTATACACACAAACACACTCACTATACACACACACACTATACACACACACACAACACACTCACTATACACACACACACTCACAATACACACAACACACTCACTATACACACACACACACACTATACACACACACACACACACACAACACACACACACACAACACACTCACACACACACACACTCACTATACACACAAACACACTCACTATACACACAACACACTCACTATACACACAACACACTCACTATACACACAACACACACACTATACATACAATTAGTTTCAAACAGTTCATCTGAAGTTCAAAGTCAAGAGTTTAAGAGTTAAACCAAGAGTTAAACCAACAACCCTTCAAAATAAAAAAATATGTAAATTGGTTAAACATGGAGACATATTTGACCATTGAACAAACACAATTCACGTTCATCTGGAAAAAACGTGGCCCCTCTCTCTGTAACTGCTGCTGTCAAACTCGTCATTTTGTTCCAATTCAGTTAACCTGCACTACATGATCCTGCTTCGTCCGTAAATCAATACATAAACATTAATAATAGACAGATGAGGACCCTTCTTTTCGGGAGGTCAAACCTGCTAGTGTTAGCAACAGGTTTGATTGACGGCATAGCTAAGCTCCCTGCTAAACCAATGATGCGGGTGTGAAGGGGCATTACCTTCAACAGCCTCGCTCCCGATTGGCTCTTTGATGTTGGCTCCAGATTGGCCACAATAACTGCTGGCCTCAATTGGCTTCATTTGGCTGGAGCTCTGTGGATGACGTCACACTCCTGTAAGTTCGCAACACACTAGAGGAGAATTTGATCGATTTTGGCTGCGACTTCTTCTCCCCGAGTTCAGGGAGGCATAACCCGACTTTTTGTCTTCGTGTGCGATTTTGAAGCCGCTGCGCTCTGTCAACGACCAAACATCCAATAAAACAGAATGTCAGGGGCAACGGAGTGACAGACACAAATTATATATAGTGAAAATAATGATTAGACTTTATTCCTCACCTCTCGTAAAGTGGTATATTTAAAGTGCAGCATCTCATCCACATTATCCATAGAAATTGTTCACTGCAAATAATGACAATAATGACCGCTCTGTGAATCCAGTTTGAGGCGTTGTTTAAAAGTAAAAAGGTGAGAGTAGTTCCTCACGTGTGTCTGTTTACATCCACACAGCGCACGGATCAAGATGAAGCTGCAGATTAGTGACAGTGATTCTACTTCCTGTGGACTTTATTTCCAATCTTTTATGATTTAAAATCCTGTGTCTGAAGTTTTACACCACACTTAACAAATAATAATAACAGTTTTGACTTGTATCTAAACTAGAAGTGCAGAACTCTGATCTTTTGAACACTTAAGAGTCTCAAAGCGACTGGTTTTACTGTGAACAGGAAACAGTTGATGTGGTCACGCTTACAGCTTTATATCCTGTAGTCCGCAGACAGATGCCGTTGCATTTTTTGCGATTGAAGATTTAAAATCTCATTCTTCTCATGATTCTTCTCATGTCTGTGGTGTGCGCTTTTTTGTCACACGTTTAAAATTTTCATTCAAGACAGAAAAAACCTGTAGTGTGTGGCGGCCTTTAGTCTGCTTCTTTATACCGTCTATGGTCTAAAGATTTTTTGACTTCTGATTGCTGAAGCATGAAAAATAGTTCAGACTTACATGTAAATCATTTGTACAGCTCTCAGCCCATGTTCAGCTCACCTTTAAACATCTCGTTTTATAGCTTACTTTTTGTAAACCAAGTCCTGTGAGCGGCACTTTTATGGCTTGTGTTTCTATTTCTGTCCTGAGTCTGAATATTCAATAAAGCTCCCATAAACACACGGCCTTTTTAGGAGCCATGTTTGACCAGCGCCGCTTGATTTGTGTACATGACCATCGTACTGCTCGGAGGGACAGTGCTGCTGTGTAAACTGTCACTGAGTCCTATCCTCTCGACCGATACGTTTGGGATGCACTGACAGGGATGGTACGTGTCCTTATTGGACTCTTGCATAGTTGATTTAGTCAGGGTTTAGTCCTGGTTTAGGCCTTGGTTAATCCTGTTTTTTTACTTCTAGTTTAGTCCTGGTCTGACTTTAGACCTGGTTTTGACCTGTTTTAGCCCTGTTTTAGTTCCAGTAACTGTGGTCCAGCCTGGTTTACTCCTGGCTTAGGTCTAGTTTAGCCATTTTTTAGTCTTTGTTAAGTCTTGGTTTAGTCCTGGGTCAACCATAGTCCTGGTATAGCTCTGGATTAATCTTTGTTAAATCCTGAATTATTCCTTATTGATGTTTGGTCTTTGTTTAGTCCTGTTTAATCGTGCTTTAGTCCTGTTTTAGTCCTGTTTTAGTCCTTTTTTTGCGTTTGTATTGTACTTGGAGGGACAGCGCTGCTATGTACTGTGTAAACTCTTTCAGCTTGTGTCCTCTCGGCCAATACGTTTGTGATACACTGACAGGGAGGTACACATTGGGCTCTTCTTTGGGACAGAATTTATGTTTGCTGTATTGGAGTGGCCGGAGGGACAGCGGTTGTGTTGTAACCAGCTCGTGTCCTCTCCCCTGATACTATAAACCCCATGTAGCTGTTGTAAGTACATTGTACTCATGGGAATGGCTGACTGTTTATGGATAGTTTGAAGTTACTGTGTCCTCTCGGTTGGTACAGTATCTTACTTGTTTCTCTTTTTGCAGGTGACTGGGAGTGCTACCCTCATGACCCAACGGTATGGCACGTAAGTCCAGATTTGACAATTACAGTTAAAGTGCATGAGCAGTGTTGGGAAGGTTACTTTTAAAATGTTTTCCCCTACAGATTACAGATTACATTTCCCAAAATGTAGTTTGTAACGTAACGTTACTTAAAGTGAGTAATATAATCTGAATACTTTTGATTACTTGATATTGTCATGCTTTTTAAAACTACATGAATGTAGCAACAACATCCTGAAAATTCATGTTTGTTTTCTTCAACTTGTCTGTTGAGCCCAAGTCTCCATGAACAGACTTTTGTTTGCTGTAGAGAAGCAAAGACGAGGAAATCTTAACATGAGATGTTTTATATGCTAAAAGAAAATAAAAAGTCCAGTCTTTCCTTAAGCATATTAAAAATATTATTGTAGTAAAATTATTTTTATATGAGATCTCCTTAAATTATGTCAACCTACTGTTAGGTGTCATAATGTTTAGACCTGGTTTTACTCCTAGTTTAGTCCTGGTTTTAGTTCTGCTTTTAGTCCTGGTTTAGTCCTAGTTTAGTCCTGCTTTAGTCCTGGTTTAGTCCTAGTTTAGTCCTGGTTTAGTCCTGGTTTAGTCCTGGTTTTAGTCCTACTTTTGTCCTGGTTTAGACCTGGTTTTGTCCTGGTTTAGTCCTGGTTTTAGTCCTGATTTAGTAATGGTTTAGACCTGGTTTAGTCTTGGTTTTAGACCTGGCTTTAGTCCTAGTTTAGTCCTGGTTTAGTCCTGGTTTTAGTCCTAGTTTAATCCTGATTTTGTCCTGGTTTTAGTCCTAGTTTAGTCCTGATTTAGTCCTGGTTTAGACCTGGTTTAGCCCTGGTTTAGCCCAAAATGTGAAAACAGGAACATACCGCCATGTAATCCATTTATTTCCACAAAGTAACTCTAATCCAATTATCATCGAAACAGTAAATGTAACTGAATACAGTTACTCATAATTTGTACTCTGATTACGTAACACCGGTACATGTAATGTGTTTCTCCCCAACACTGCGCATGTGACAGGTTAGACGACTCATTTCACTAAAAAATACTTATCTGATGAAGTTGGGCAGTAGATACATACATATATGTAATTCTATAACGGGTACCTAGTGCGCCAAAACTTGTCGTATTTAGCCTACTCAATAGTTATGATTAGACTAATTTAGCAACTTGGTAACTATATTTGACAAAATTATGCACTTTAAGTCATGTTACAAAGTTGTTACCTCCTCAAAATCATACCAGGAGTTGTGTGTTTGTTTCATTCACACGTTTGTTTTATTTTATTGTTAATCCGTCTACATCTCCAAAGCTCAAAACTTTCTGGTCCACCTTGTGATGTCATGTAGTGGTATTTTTCATGTTAACTGCTGTTGTGCGAGTGTTTTCTGAGAGAAGAACTCAGCCTAAATGTGCAGGGTTTGTATTTTAAGCATGTGTGAATGAAACAAAACACAACTCCAGGTCTGTTTGTGATGAGGAAACTACATTATAACATAGATCATAAAATAGCTTAACATGGGCCCTTTAAACTGTCAGAAAAACTTCCTTCCTTGAGTTTTCTGTGCTAATGACAATTCTGTTCCAGAACTTAGCGCTGCTTTCTGTGTTTTTCTTTTCTTTTTTCCCCCAAAACTGCCACTTAACTGATGTAAAACTATGACAAAAATGTTCCACTATCCAGTCAGACCATGTCAAAATGAGAAAATCATGCAAACCTGTCATACTCACTGTGTTGTATGTACTTGTATTTGTTTCCGTGTAATGTTGCTGTATGTTTTCAGCATCCTGTGAACTGGCAGCCGTCCAAAGAAGGAGACCATCTGATTGGACGCATCACCCTGAGCAAGAGGAGCGCCACCATGCCCAAGGAGGCCGGGGCTCTGCTGGGGCTCAAGGTTTGTCCCATGTGTGTCAGATGACCTCCCTATGTCTCCGTGGGGTGTTATTCTGTGTAAAAGCTGCTAACCCCGTAGATTAAACCTGTATAAACATGTTGCGTTCAAAGACTGTAGTAATTCTAGTTTTGAGAGTGTGCAGCCATCATTTTTTTCATCATTGTGTATCTGTTGACTAATGGTTTCCTCTGATTGTGTGTGTGCAGGTGGTGGGAGGCAGAGTGACAGAGTCGGGGAGGTTAGGAGCTTTTATCACCAAAGTGAAGAAGGGAAGTCTGGCTGACGTGGTGGGACATCTACGAGCAGGTACACACAAAGAGGATACTACAGCAACATCGAAGTATCCTCTGTCACTGGTGTTTAATGCAGGCAGAAACAATGTCAGTGTTCTACCAATGGGACTGTGCACAGGAGAGCTCTGAGATTAAATTACAATAACATGACATCTTTAGAAGTGAAGTTGTTTGACCTGCAGTTGAGAACATGAAATCAATAGTGTACAATGTGCTACAACAGTGATTCTCAAACTGTGGTACATGTACTACTGTTGGCAGTGTTGGGAAAGTTACTTTTAACATGTATTCCCCTACAGATTACAGATTACATACCCCAAAACGTAATTTGTAACGGAATCCATTAAATTACTTAAAGTGAGTAACGTAATCTGAATACTTTGGATTACTTGATTTGCTGTAGAGAAACAAAGACTTGAACATGTTAACATAAGATGTTTTGTCTGCTAAAAGACAATGAAAAGCCCAGACTTTACTTAACCAATTACTTAAAAATATTATTGATAGAAGAGGAGGAGACATGGTCCACACAGCATGGTTTAGTCCTGTTAAATCCTGTTTGAGAAATAGTTTAGACCTGGTTTTAGTCCTGGTTTAGACCTGGTTTAGACCTGGTTTAGACCTTGTTTAGACCTGGTTTAGACCTGGTTTAGACCTAGTTTTAGACCTGGTTTAGTCCTAGTTTAGACCTGGTTTGGACCAGGGTTTAGACCTGGTTTGGACCTGGTTTAGAGCTGGGTTTAGACCGGGTTTAGACCTGGTTTTAGACCTGGTTTAGTGTCCGGCAATGCATGGAATTACTGAGAAAAAAAAAAAAAAAGGATATAGCCCAAAATGTGAAAACAGGAACATACCGCCATGTAATCCATTTATTTCCACAAAGTAACTCTAATCCAATTATCATCGAAACAGTAAATGTAACTGAATACAGTTACTCATACTTTGTACTCTGATTACGTAACTCTGGTACATGTAATCTGTTACTCCCCAACACTGACTGTTGGTACGTGGAGCCAGCTGCTGTTTGAGTATTTGTTTAATTCAGGTCTCAAAGGGGCTGTATCTAGGGGCTTTACTATCTAAAGACATGGATAATTTTAAACACAAAGTTATTCCTCACTTACTTTATGCATTCTGACCATCCTAATTATTCACCGTGATGCATTTATAAGTAGAGCTGGGTGTCATTAAGAACTTGTCGATACGATACATACCTCGATACATAAGCCACAATATGATACATTTTTCGATACAGTACACTTTCGATTCAATACGATTCAGTATGATATATTACAAATCAATTTGATACGATTCAGTAAAAAACAAACAAACAAAAGCAAACAAAATCATGAGTGTAATACAAACATTCTACTAAGTTTACTACATTTGTGCAAATTAATATGAAAAACACCCATTTTACTCATCAAAACAGTGAAAATGCCAACACAATTGTAGCTCTAACACAAAATAATTTAGTAAAATATACCTAAAAATACCCTTTGCGATATATCGAGACAGCAGCCCACGTTATCGATACTGCATCATCAAATTAGATGATACAGTATATTGATATTTCAATAGTTTTGCAAACTCTTATTTTTAAGTGCTTTTCACAACTTTCAGAGACCAACAACTAACAACAACTAACAGCTAATAGTAGTATACTTCCTGATTCTCTAACAAAAAACACTTTACACTTAGCTGCAGACAGTATGCAGTGGGCTCATTTTTTTTTTTTTACCTCAAGTGGTGCTTATACAATATATCTGTACTGGGGAGACACACGTTTTGCTCAGATCCATGGGAAACAGTGGTGTCCAGCCCCTTAAAACGCCTGTTCTGTCTGTGTGTAGGAGATGAGGTTCTGCAGTGGAACGGGAAGCTGCTTCCTGGAGCCACTATGAAGGAGGTCTATAACATCATCCTGGAGTCTCAGTCTGAGCCTCAGGTCGAGCTGCTCGTGTCTCGACCAATCGGGTGAGTGCAGACAACCAAACCATACGCACACTTCAAACTCTACTTTAATACTGTTTAATCCACATCATGACTAGGGTTGGGCGATATGCCAAAAAAACACGACCTCCGTTTTCTTTACGACATGTCCACATTTCAAATTGATCATGATTAATGCAGACTTGTGTTTACATTACTTGTATAAGAGCTCAAATCCTGCTCTTGAGAGTTCACTCTTCACTATGATTGGTTACTGCTACATGTCAATCACTCAGAGTTGGACCGATATGTGAAGTGACTGTGTACAAGTGAGCCGTGCCTAAGCCCTGACAAAAACACTCAGGTGTGGAAACGTGTTGGCTGCTCCAGGTCTTAATAAAGCACTTTTCATTTTTGTACACAAGAGTGCCCCACGACTGTTCACATTTGTACGTTGCTATGTGCTGAGCTAAACCTCTGTTCGTCCATGTCAAGTAGCCTTATGCCTGAAAAGCACCTGTGTACTACATCCTTCTGTCTGACTCACTAGAGCCTCATTGGAGCACTCACCTTATCTCCTGTTTTCACCATTGAATTTTTACTGGCATATCGCTCAGAGCTAAACACAACTGTAATAAACCATCTTTTTTTTTATACAATAGAACATCATTCTCAAAACCAAATTGTTTCTTTAAAAATATGATGTAAATATTATTATTTTTTAGTTTTTTTTTTGACAACCTTACCCTCACATGTGAACTTTCTTGAACTGTAACTGTCAGTTTAACTCATCCATCATTGAAATAAGTCTAGACTATGATTTTGCAAAATTTTCACTGACTCCAAAATGTGTCCTGAGCTCAAAGAAAACGTCTAACTCTGGACAAAGCAGGAATGATGTGGCAAATGTGATGATTTTGGAAGTTGACTAATGGATAAATAAAACACATGATTGGCATTATTTACTGATCAGCAGAAACTTGTATTTGTGTGAAAAGTACTGCCTGGTCTTGATGATGTTGATGAAAAAGATGAATGTATGACTTTGTCCCCAAACACTGGCGAAGGGTTTATAGAAATTATCAGTAAGTAACTGTGGACTTTTACTCTAAAGGAGCAGCACCTGGTCTGCTGTGGCCATTTTCAATCTCTCTCAGGCTGGATTGAAATATATATTTTTTATAATGTAAACACGAAACACTTCCATTTGAGGCATATTGGCCCTTTACTATATGAAACGTTTAAGTTGAAGAGATCCGAAATGGCCTCTGGACTGTTGAGCTTTGCTTTTGCGACTTCTGAACTTTTGGAAGACAGAAAACCATTGATACATTCAAATACATGTTCTTTGTTTAATTTGCTAAGGCTGTTTAAATGAAGCTTTTGCTAAATCTCTTTTTTTGGAATGAGCTGCTGAGGGTCCACACTACACATATCAGACTGTGGTCTGAGTCACCTTCAGCCTAATGTTTAATGAGCCCAGCTCTGAGCGCATGTTTCAAGTGGCTCTTTCTGATAAGTGTCCACCAGGTTTGTCTCATTTAAACAAAGCTCAAGAGTGGAAGAGCACTTCTGGACCTGGAAGTTAAAAAAAATGTGTAAGGGACCATCCTGCAGTTTCTCTGAGTTAAACCTGCAGGAGCAGTTGGACCCATCTTCAGATCTTGAGCTAGTCTTGGTCAGAACTACCTTAGCTGGAGGATTTGACCTGAGGATTTGACCTGATTTGACCCCGGAGTTCTCAGAAGAAACCCTCCCAGACACGGGGAGAACATGCAAACTTCAAACAGCCTGGGTGACCTGGTGGACCGGTGATCCAACCTCAAGGTCTGAGCTAAATGCTCAGCCATGGAGTCCAGAGGGTCCAGTTTCGGGATGGTCCAATCAAAATGTTTGTTTTGACACAGATGAACTAGGTTTACTTCATTTCATTGTGTAACAGGGACAATGCAGTTGAACATAGTCACAGGCAGAGCAGGCAGCTGATGTGACGCATATAGAATGTGAAGCTAGTTCTAATTCTCAGCTCCCGTCCGTGGTCGGCTTTTTCCTACACTAAACAGTTGGAAACACTCTAAAAGTACTTCAAACACACAACAGTTTCCTGTCAATCATGCCCATCAGAAGTCTGTGGGACTGGATGTGGTTCCAGACTCAAGCCATTCCACCACACACAGGTCTGTTCCTCTCATCACAGCTTTAAACTGGAATATCATTTCCAAAACCAGAATTGCCTGTCCACTGTTGACAGACTGTTGCACATTGAATCATGCAGTGAAGAGGTGTGTTCTCTGCTCCCTCCATTCAGATTTTTATTAACCTGCATCTGTGTGAGCATGTGCAGTCCGAGCTTCACTTTGACCTCAGCTCTTATTACACTTTTCATGGAACATGTTTGATCTTCTTTTACAGTGATATCCCAAGAATCCCCGACACGTCCCACCCTCCATTAGAATCTAGTAAGTATTTTGTCCTCTCATATCATCCCATTTATTCAAGTGTGCACACAGAGAAATGATGAAAATCTATGGTACCATATTATTAGCTCATTAGACCTTTACTAGTCTTATGTTAGACATGTTATCAGAGATTAACATGGTTTCTACACTATATTACACTTTTTTCCATGGAGAGGTTATTGCTTTGTCTTCAATATTCCACAGTCTGGCATTAAACTATCTAGACTGATCTCCATGAAGGCAAATGCACCACAAAGTTATAAGTCAGATCTGTGAAGAGGTGATCCTGTGCACAGTAAGAATGTATGTATATCAAGTGTTTCTTTAAACTTATAACAATATAAATAAGTTAAAGAGGGCATATTAAGCAAAATGTTATTATTATTATTATTTTTTGCTTTCTACCATGTTTTATCGTTCACAAATATGCCTGAAGAGGTTGTAGATGTCATGATCCATGCGTATTCATGTATATTCAAACCCTCCTTATGGTTAGCAGAAGACTCTAATGCCTAATACTCTGTCCACAAGCGTCACCCATGATCCCACTCAATACTTCTCCATAAATACACATTTAGCAAGGGGAGGGGAGACTCAAAGCTTCAAAAACAAAAGTGAAACTGTGCTGTTATTTTCGGCAAATAAAACATCAAACTTGGTAACAATATGTTATTTGTTAGCAGTAAAATATCTGTTCTTTAAATGCCTTATTGTGGAACATTCCAGCAATAACATCTCCATAAAAACAAGCAGAAGATGGATGCATAGGAGAAATGTTACATTTTATCATTGATTCAAAGTGGTTTTCCTCAACTATATACATGAACTGAAAGTGTCTGCTGTGAATCTAAACTAGAGTGAGATGTGAGGTAATGTAGGGCGAGGAAACCCTCGGCTATCGTCACATTCTAAGAAGAGGCGACCCATTCTCTGTAAAAATGTATTTTTCTCTAGGTATTTTTCTGTCAAGAAAATGGTTTAATGCCATATTGCAGAACATTATTGCATTACAAAGCAATATCATCTTCCTAAAGACAAGCAGATGGCAGATTTAGAGAAAATAAGTGACACAGTGTATATTGCAGACTTATAGTGCTTGGGTTTGTTCTGTAGTTATAATGTATGATGCCCATGGATCATTCTGTTTTTAAATCAAATTTTAAATCACAATGTTCATCTTAAACAACTTCATAAAAGAAACAAGAGTGCTGACTTCTGCGATAGTGCCCACTGACTCCCAATCGGAGCTGATGTCACCGTAATGACAACAAAGCGCCGCATGCTGTGGGCCCCTCCTATGGAGAGCTGCACATCACACCGGAGCAGAGCTTTTTTCTTATTTGTACCAAAATGACTACACAGTGTTGCCGAATCCTACGCACATCACAGATTAACCAAAAAAAAAAAAAAAAAAAAAAAAGGGAAGAAGTGTGTCACAGTGAGCGTGTACCGGTGGTGGTGAAAACGGGGGTAGATAAATACAGAAATACAGATTACTCAAACATGCACAAATATGAAGGAAAGGTCAGTATGAAGGAAACAATTATAACATGTTTTAAAAGCTTTAAAAAGTCAATCTTGCACAATGGGTCTGCTTTAAGTTAAGCATAGTTTAGGTTGACTTGCTGTGCCATATACGTGAACTCAAAGTGTCTGTTGTGAATGTAAACTAGAGTGAGGCGTGAGGGAAAGTAGGGCGAGGAAACCCCGCTGTCGTCACAGCTCATTCTGTGCTTCTAATGAGAGGCCGGAGCAGAGCTGCTGTAGGATCTCACCAACCCTCAGAGACTGGACACAAGCCATTAATCATCCACTGTCACTGCTCCAGCGCTACACACAAACATCCACAGAACAGCATAGGTATTTTTAGGCCAAAGAAGAGAGGAGGAGGAAGAGGAAGGGGGACAGGGCTATACATGAAAGGGGAGAGGAGGAAGAGAGCGGGGGAAGGAGAGAAGGAAGGGAAGAAAGGTGTGAGGATATGGAGATCAGGAGGAGATAGAGCTCTAGCAGAGAAGAGGAGGTGAAGAGAGGGATGGGGCTATAGAGGAGAAGAGGAGAGAGGAATGCAACTATAGAGGTGGATGTAAAAATTAGAGAGGGATGGGGCTATGGAGAAGAGGAGAGAGGGATGGGGCTATTTAGAAGAGGAGGAGTGAGAGGGATGGAAACAATGGAGAAGAGTAATTACAACGTGTTTTCAAAGTAAGAATAAAAAAAAAAAGATAATTTTACGTACAATCACAAATCTTCCAAAACACACTGCAGCACTTGGCAGAGCTGCTGTGTGTGTGTGTGTGTGCGTGTGCGTGTGTGTGTGTGTGTGTGTGGTGTTTTACAGTAGCAGCAGACTATTATTTCGATCTCTCATGTATTGTAATATCACCACCATATTGTGACACCACCAGTGTTGTGGCCCAGTAGTACATACTGTAACTTCTCAGCCCTGTACACATTTGACCCATCCTCTCTCTCTCTCTCTCTCTCTCTCTCTCTGCCATCCTGTCTTGTGTCAGATATTTGACCCGTCTTCTGTCTCTCTTGTGTGTGCAGCAGGTTCCAGTTCTTTTGAGTCCCCAAAGGAGAGACCGACCCTAAATGTCCTGTCCCCCTCCAGTCCCGGGACGCTGCAAGACGCTCCACAGCTCATGCCTGGAGAGCTGTCGGTGAGTGTGGCCCAGTGTCTCTGCCAAACCCCTAAACCAAAGCTCTTAAACATAATGGAGCCATGTATATGAAAGGACTATGTGTAGTTCAGATGAGGTCATTCATCATGATTGTGATATTGCTAATTGGTTGTGGATAAGTGTTGATACAGTGTGTAGGTGTCTGGGACGGACATTGTGATTGAGAATTTACCTTTGTGTTTGGGATGTGTGCAGGTGAAGCTGTGGTACGATAAAGCCGGGCACCAGCTGATCGTGAACGTGCTCCAGGCCAGAGAGCTCCCTGTGAGGCCAGACGGACGCCCACGTAGCCCGTACGTCAAGATGTACTTCCTCCCTGACAGAAGGTACTACTATTACTACAAATGCTACTACTACTTTACCACTACTACTGTTACTTGGTTTAGGCCTGATTTAGTCCTGGTTTAATCATTGGTTTAGTCTATGTTTAATCCTGGTTTAGTTATGTCAGCTTACATTTCCTTTTACTGGTTAAGGTCCTTTCTTAGTCCTTGTTTAGACTTGATTTAATCTGACTTTAGCTAGAGTTCATGATGCTTTCCAGTTAACTGCCCTGGAATGCTGTTCAAAATGGAGATTCCCACTTGTGACCTGGCTCTTGTATGTTTCAGTAGACCAGATTTTGACCTAAAGGACGGTATTGTATTACATTCTAAATCTAATGGCGTTAAATAATGGTGTGTCTTTGTTTTAGTGACAAGAGCAAGCGTCGGACCAAAGCAGTGAAGAAGACGGTGGAGCCCAAATGGAACCAGACCTTTGTGTATTCTCACGTTCATCGACGAGACTTCAGAAACCACATGTTAGAGCTGACCCTATGGGACCAGCCCAGGTCTCCAAACGAGGACAGTGTCTTCATGGGAGAGGTAAACATCAACTCTATCAGAGGAGCAGACGGGAGGGTCAGAGGAGCAGAGGAGCAGAGGAACAGAGGAACAGAGGAACAGAGGATACAGAGGAGATGGTGAGAGAAGCAGAGAAGAGGGTCAGAGGAGCAGAGGATGCAGAGCGGAGGGTCAGAGGATGTAGAGGAGAGGGTCAGATGGAGCAGAGAAGAGGGTCAGAGGAGGATTCAGGGAGAATGTGAGGGGACTAACTTTGTTGCTGTTTGTTGCAGATCTTGATAGAGTTGGAGACGGCGTTGCTGGATGATAAACCTCACTGGTATCCTCTTCAGACCCATGATGTCTCCTCCATCCCTCTGCCCCGCCCCTCCCCCTTCCTCTCCAGACGCCACATCCACCCTGACGGCCCGGCTAAGAAGCTACAGCGTGAGTCCTTTATATAATATGCTTAAATCTTAAGTCATAATGAGCATTTAGTGTGTTTTCCTGTTGTTTTTTAATATTTTTGTTATTTGCTTTTTTAAAAATTTTTTTATTTAAATGCCCTATATTACTCAAAATAGACAAGCCATGTTAGAATGTTACCTCCTCCAAAACATATGTGGAGTTGTGTTATGTTTCATTCACACATGTTTAAGCAACTCTTTATTAGTAATGTGTGTATGTCTCCAATGCTCAAAATGCTCTGTCCCACCTCGTGATGTCATGAAGCGGTAGTTTTCAAATTCACCGCTCCCTTTACTTTCTGTTTAATCATCATCAGATCGTCAAATCCAGAGCTGAAATGATTCAAATGACTGTAGTGAAGATGTATGGATTAGTGACGGGCATTCGATGAAATTTTCTTAATCGATCATCGGAAGAATTAACAATCGATTATCAATTAATCATTAATGTTTTTATATAAAAATGATCATCATTATTATTACTATCTGCACTAATCTGTATAAATAAATTCAACTTTACGACATATAAACCATAACCACTCTAGAGCCACATCAGCCCGTTTGACATTAGAATGTGTTTAATTCAGTTTTGTTCAACTCTCACAGAAACTAAACTTAAAACCGCATCACTAATTTGCATAAACTCAGCGAAGATAAAACTACAGCTCTTGTGTTGCTGATGCGGTCAGTTTCTGTCAGATTAAAGGACATGACTCAGTGGAATACAGGTTAGTGTGACCAGATTTGCGTCTGTCAAAACCAGGACACTGTACTGGGGGAGGGAGGTGGAGACTCGTCATCCACATTGTGCGACTCTCACCTGGTAAAACTTTTTCCCACTGGACACTGACACATATGTGCTGCTTTATACACTGTGCACATGGACTCACACTTGTCCCGAAAGCAACGGAAAGCGTGGAATTTCTTGTACAAGTCGTCGTTAAATACACATTTGTGCTTCAGTACGTTGCAGACTGACCGAATGTTTCTGTCTGCTTGCTCCTTCTGATGCAGAGACACATGTACACACCTGTTTGGTCACACTACACACAGCAACCTACATTCAGTTTGTCGATTAAAATGAACGTAATCGATGAAATTCTTAATGATCAATTATCAATTAATCGATTAATCATGCCCATCCCTAGTATGGAATAAAGCACTTCCTGTTTTGCCGCATGACATCACGAGGTGGAGCAGGCTGTTTTCAGTTTGAGAGAAGAACTCTAAAAACGCAGCGTTTGTGTGTTAAATATGTTGTGTGTTAAATATGTGTGAATGGAACAAAACACAACTCCATTTCTGTTTGTGATGAGAAAATGACATTAGAACAGAGATCAGAAAATAGTGTAATATGAGACTTTTAATTAAAGTGAACCTACAGTATAATGCAGCATTTGAATAATATTAGTAACACAACATTAAAGAATACATTTATGATCCATTCCTAAATCTGCAGCTAATCCCTCCATGCCTTCTGCCTTCTGCTCTTGTTCATATAAATAGAACCAACACAACAGTTGGTTCAGTCTTAAAAAAACAGTGCTCGACTTACGCTGTTATCGACCGAGCAGTCAGTTAAAGATGCACTATGGAACTCTTCTGGTGGAGGGTCCGCTACTACCTACCTCTGTGAAGATAGTATTGTTTTGACTGGAATGTTCCAAAGTGTGGCATTAAACTTATTTATCTCCGCCGCTCATAACAAGAATGAATGTTTTTCAAGCAATGGAACACATGCAATTAAACAAATACAACATATATTACTATAATGCCATACTGTGGAACATCTCAGGCAAAGCAGTATAACACAATCTAGAATTGAATATGTGACTGTCCATTGCAGAGTTCAACACACTGAATACTAAACTCCTGTATGTGTCTCATTAAGAAGTATTATGACTGTACACGATTATATTTACCAGCTCACCCCGTAGTGATTATTATTTTTTTGTTAATGCATCTCTGTGGACATTTTACACACTCAAACAACTATTCAGCTAATTAAACTATTCTCCCTGTACTCCCTCCACACCAGAAAAGTCCCAAAGTGCAGCTTTAAGTCACAAAAAATACAAAAATATGCCTTTAGAATGTATAATATCTGCCCATCACATCCCACCAGACTTCAGCCCTGCTCCTGTCTCCTGTCTCCTCCGCTCCTGTCTCCTGTCTCCTCCTCTCCTGTCTCTTCTCCTGTCTCCTCCTCTCCTGTCTCCTCATCTTCTGTCTCTTCTCCTGTCTCCTCCTCTCCTGTCTCCTGTCTCCTTCTCTCCTGTCTCCTCCTCTCCTGTCTCCTCATCTTCTGTCTCTTCTCCTGTCTCCTCCTCTCCTGTCTCCTCTCCTGTCTCCTCCTCTCCTGTCTCTTCTCCTGTCTCCTCATCTTCTGTCTTCTCCTCTCCTGTCTCATCTCCTGTCTCCTCCTCTCCTGTCTCCTGTCTCCTGTCTCCTGTTCCCTCCTCTCCTGTCTCATCTCCTGTCTCCTCCTCTCCTGTTTCCTACCTCCTCCTCCCCTGTCTCCTGTCTTCTGTCTCTTCTCTGCTCCAGTCTCCTGTCTCCTTTTTTTGCTCCTGTCTCCTTCTTTGCTCCTGTTTCCTTCTCTGCTCCTGTCTCCTGTCTCCTTCTTTGCTCCAGTCTCCTGTCTTTTGTCTCCTTCTTTGCTCCAGTCTCCTGTCTTTTGTCTCCTTCTCTGCTCCTGTGCTCCTCACTGACTTGATCTGTTCCACAGGTTCTTGTTTTGTGTCTGCGTGTCTGTGGTTTAACTGTGCTCTCTCATCTGTCTGTGTGCATGGCCTGTCTATCTGCATGAGTAGGATCTCAGCGTCTGTCTGAACCCGAGTTTGACGATGGCGCCCCTCTAGTGTCCAAAGGTGGGTCTGGACTAAACTTAAAACAACATCATGCATGGCTCCTCCTCTCGTTCTCACCACACCTGCTCTGTTTTATACATGTACCAGTTCTAATTCAGGGGTTGGGTTCATGTTGCCTTTTGATAAGGTCAATTGTCCTGGTTATGGGTCATGTCTCAAATGAAACTCTTATCAACTCATATCCAAATGAAACTCAAACAGGCACAGACTTCTTAAAACAAACAAACAAACAAACAAACAAACAAACAAACAAACAAACAAAAAAAACAGCAAGTTATAGTAGTTTCTTCTCATGGACCCTGATTGGTGCATGTTTGAGTCATCTTTAATCACTTACTGTATTTTCAAGACTAGGGATGTGCAAAAATATTAATATATTGTATCGTTTAATGTAATGATACAGTATCGATATCGTGGGCTGCTGTATCGACATATCGCCAAGAGTATTTTTTGGCATATTTTACTCTGTTATTTTGTTACAGCGCTACAATTTGGTTGCTTGTTCAGAAGACAGAAACTTGTTCATGGCGAGGAGAAAATTCAGTTTGTCGACTGGACAAAAGTTAGTTTGATTGAAGACGTTTCTCAGCTCATCCTTCTTCAGTTCTGGTCAGAATGCTGGTGGACACTTCCTTATATCTGCAGGGACCTGACCTGGCTACGCCTCCAGAGGTGTGGAAGCTCCATTATGGCCCTGAATTGTTTTGCTAATTAGACCCCACACCCTGTACAGGTCAATAGGCCGAACTAACAAACAGAAACTGTAAACATGTGTGTGTGTTAGTTTCAGTGTAGTTAGCTCCTCCCTGCAGACAGATATAAGGAAGTGTCCACCAGCGTCTGACCACAACTGAAGAAGCAGCTTGGATGAACTGCGAAACGTCTTCAACCAAACTCACTTTTGTCCAGTCGACAAACTGAATTTTCTCCTCACCATGGATTCTACCTGGACGACTGAGGGATTCTTCACACGAAAATTATTTATACGACACATTTGGCATATTCACTGTTTTGAGGATTCAAATGTTTGTATTTCTTAGAACTTTGCACAAGAAGTGGTTTAACAAAGACTTTTAGAATCACAGTCATCATTTAACCTTTATTTTTTATTGAACCGTATCGAATTGATATAAAATATATCGTATTGAACCAAAAGTGCACTGTATTGAGATATGTATCATATCATGGCCTATGTATCCAGGTATGTATCGTATTGGCAACTTCTTAATGATCCCCAGCCCTATTCGAGACGTGATGTTGCTGATCAACCTCCGTTTTCATTCTCCAGTTTTATCCTCAATCGGTGATACACGTAGGATTCTGCAGTGTCGTGTAGAAATTTTGGTCCAAATGATAAAAATGCTGTGCTCTAGTGTGACCCACAGGTATCATAGTTTAGAACTATACAGCAGACACAAGCGCAGCATGTTTTCTTTAAAACCTCAGCACAAATGCGAAAGTGAAAGAACGACAACAAAATACAGTGCAAAATACAGGAGCATTCTTCCATGCTGAGAGGAGGAGGGAGTCCCTGTTTTTGGTGCCAGAGTCCTGTGTGGTCCCGAGCTGGTACAGGATGGACATGGTGAAATGACTATTTTTTCTGATTTTGAATAATTCCTTAAAACAAAACTCACTATCACAGTCACAATCTATACTGCTCCTTTATACACTATGCAGAGTAAACAGAATACTGTATTACTGAGTTTCAGATGACATCATAACATTTTATAGGCCTGATCAGGACAGCTAAAATAAATATTGTCAAAATGCAGACTTCAGCTGTGAGTTCTTGGGTCTAGTCACTAATACAAATAATCAGGTTCAACATTTGTAAATTTACTTTTTGAATAGTTTTGGGGGCAGGAGTGCTACTTGGATATACAAAAATTGTGCAGAATTGTCGTTTTGGTGCTCTTCAATGCAGGGAGCAGTCTCAAATACAAAGTAGGAAAAAACGGAGACACTCAAAAAGTACAAAATAATTAAAAGCTTTTTATACCACATGGCAGGTAAAGTTAAAATCACGCCAACACGTTTTGGACTTTCTGAATATTTCATGATAAAGTAGAATGTAATCAATAGGGTAAATAGTATGGTATCATCACATTTCTAGAATCAGAAAACTACCAGTTGGTTTGAGTTTTTACAGCAGAAGTACTGGAGTCTGACTAATCCACTCACAACTGGTGGTTTTCAGGTTCTAGAATGTGATGATGTCTTACTTCCAGATGGGGGCAAGAGCCAGTTTTTCCTATTGATTACACTTTACTTTACCATGAAATATTGGATTGGCAAATTATCAAAACCCAACACCAGGCTATATTACAACAAAACTCTGCAGTTAAACAGTATTCATTTTAGCTGCCTCCATCTGTATTAAATATTATTTGCTTGTAGAATGTAGTGATGTCATCTGAAACCTGCAATATTTGTTTTCAGTCATTGAGTCGCTCCTGTTTTCATCTGAGAATTACCACAGGGAACCAGTAATGGAGTGATTTGTCACAAGTTTATGCCAGATGCCCTTCCAGACACATTCCTGTATCATGGATTAGGGTTCCAATGTGCCACCCATAGGAAACAGTGCTACATGTGCTATGGCTGTGCATTTAATTGAATTTTAATTGTGATTTGCGATTCGATTAGTGTGTCAAATGATCTCCAAACTCACATAATCGAGTTGAAATGATTTAGCTGAACAAGATTTACTTTGGGATATTTTTTAATATAAATAAGTATGCTTATTATTATTTTTTTTTAATACAGAGATTTATGTTTTTCTATGCCTTATTTCATGTTCAAAGTATATTTTATAAATTTTATGTTTTATACATCACATATCTGTAGCCTATATTTAGTTTCAATTTAAAAGCTTTGTGTAAATAATCAATAATTTTATTTATTTATTTTTTTGATAGAGAGATGCTGAATAAATGCATTAAAAATAGTCGTTTGAATAATTGTGATTTCAATATTGATCGACAATAATCATTATAATGATTTTATTTTATTTTTTCCATAATCGAGCAGCTCTATAACGTGCTATTAGTTTTATTCGTTTTATTCGTTTTCTCCATTCAGTTTAGTGTAGCATAGTGGTAAAAGGGAAAATCACTTTAACAAACTTTTAAAAGGTGAAAGACTTTGCCCAGCCTCATCGTGCTGTGAGCTTTGAGCTGCGCTTAAACCAAAATAATTGATTTTGATTATAACAGATCTGGAGCCATCCTGAGCTTTATTTATAACTTTAACAGATTGTTGTGCCTCGAAACAGAAGGGCTCCACAAACAGCCAGTTCTGCTCCAACATGACGATTCAAAAAGCTCTTCTCATTTGGAGAGGTTGGCTCCAAATAAAAGCATTAAGTGTCCAGTTCTATGCTAGTCACAGCTTAAAGATAAACTTTGACGGTACCGGATAAGTCCTGGTGTACTCGAGGTTTAGTTCTGGATTATTCCTGGTTTAGTCCTGGTTCAGCTCTACTTTTACTTTGCTGTGGCATCATTCTGGGGGTTCCTAATGGATCTCTATGCTAGAATGTTCACCTGTTACTATGGAGACACACACATAAGCAAAGTTTTAAGTTGGTCTGAAACTCAAGAAAAACATAACATAGATTTTAAGTAACATATTTTCAGGATCCTGTGATCAAAAGTGTTATGGCCATGTTTAGGTGTTAGTCACAGTATCAACAGGGCATGGCCATATTTCCTAAAACTTTCAGTTTAAAAGAAATGATATGTCCCAGCCATGGTCTTGGCCAATGTAGTCCTGATTTAGTTCAGTAAACATCCCTAGCCTTCTTTATAATTATTTACTCTCAGATAAATGGAGAGACTTTGTTGCTGCCCTACACTCCAGAGGTGTAACGGGTAGTAAGTAAATAAAGAATTTAAATAACTGTGTCCCTTTTGTTTGTCCAGCAGCAGAGTCCAGAGGCAGAGAGAGGCAAAGGGAGACTAGCTCTACTCTGGAAGTCCCCGATCCTCAAAGAACTCCCTCACACCACATCCGCTCCAGATCTGTGTCTCCTCATCGAGAAGAGCAGGGAAGAACCAGGTCCAGACCGCCCAACGTACCTGCCCAGAGGTAAGACCTGCTTTAGTCCTGGTTTAGACCTGGTTTATACTTGGTTTAGTCCTCTTTTAGTCCCACCACATCCAGTCCAGATCTGTGTCCCTTCATCAAGAATAACAGGAAAGAACCAGGTCCAAACCATCCAGTGTACTTGCTCAAAGGTGAGGTCTGCTTAAGCCCTGGTTTAGCCTTGATCGAGTCCTTGTTTTAGACCTCTTTTAGCCCTGGTTTAGGCCTAGTTTGTCCCTGGTTCAGTTTTGGTTTAGACCATAGACTGCATAATGGAAATGACATCACACACAGCGTTGAGTACTAATGAAAATAAACACAACAGGCCCATACAGAGCGAGTTAATATGAACATTTTACGACCAAAATGTTGAGGCTCACAGCAGCAGTGACACAGAGAGGGGTGAAGATTTTTCAGTATATAAGTCAATTGCAACCAGAGCTTAACCCCGTGCTCACTTCCTTTTTGGAACGAGGTGGCAAGTGCGTTAGTTATGTCCATATATATATACTGGTTTAGATCTGGTTTAGACTTGGGATAGACCTGATTTACACTTCACCTGTACTTTTCTGTGGATCTTTAGACACCTTTCAGGAGTATTTTTTCTATAGTCAAACACATTCTAAAGATGAGTGAGTTTTTGGATGGAGAGGAGTAGAACCCATCTCGTAATGAAAATCTGGTGCAGGACTCAAAGTGCTGCCAGTTCTGCTTTTACTGATCTGAGCCAAAGAGCAGAGCCAAGAGTCTGCTGCTAAACCTGGGACACTCCCTTATGTCTGCTCCAACCAAGCTACACACACACATACACACATACACACATACACACACACACACACACACACACACACACACACACATACACACACACACACACACACACACACACACACACACACACATACACATACACACACATACACACACACACATACACACACACACACACACATACACACACATACACACATACACACATACACATACACACACACATACACACACATACATACACACACACACACATACACATACACACACACACACATACACACACACACACACACACACACACACACATACACATACACACACAGCGCATTCAGCAAGACGCATTTGGAAAAAAATATATATTGAGATTTTTTTTTTTTTGGAAACTTAAGGCAAGAAAAAGTGAATCACTGAGGTGTGTGTTTTAGCGTTTTTAGTGAAGGTTTTAAAAATATGGCATTACAATAAAAGTCCAGTGACAGATTGTATCACACAGTTTGGCAGTGAGTACACAACACATTACACGCTGAGTACTGCTGACTCCTACATTTGAGAGCAATTTTCAGTACATGCTAAATTACATGTACACATACACATGAGTTACACTCTATATTATTTTACTGAAGCCATAGTATGTAACTTTTCTGCCCAAAGTAGACCAATATAAAAGCATGTTTTTTTTCATTACGAGTGTGTTTATTGCTCTGAAAAACATGTAAAAACAGATGTCCTTACTGTGAGTGGGCTTGCATCTCCACAAATGTGTTTGGTAGGAGGGCCTCCTCCTGCTTGTTTCCATAGAAATGTTTTTCCTTTGGCTATAATATTCCACAGTATAGCATAAAATGTGTTTATCTCCATGGAGAATGTATGGTTTTAACTTTCGATTTCCATGGAATCATGCTGTTGATGTTCCACCTCCAGAAAGTTACATACTGTTTCACTTTAAACAAGTTGAAGTATGACTCATGGCTGTGTGCATGTTGTTCCAATCAATGAGACCTACTCTGCAAAACTGACTTTTTGGAGCTTTTAACCATGTTATAGTGGTTTCTTCTCACTGACCCTCTGAAGTTGTATTTAGAGTGATTGGTGCATGTTTGAGTCATCTTTATCCTCCTGTATTCAAGACGTCATTGCTCCAATCCCCCCCCCCACTTTCACCTCCACTGTGACGTGCACACCTCCTTCTCCAGCTCTTTTTTCTTTAATCGGTGATACACGTGGGATTCAGCAGTGTCACGTAGTCATTTTGGTACATTGGCACAAAAAATATGCTCTGCTCTGGTGTGACGTACAGCTATTCGTAGGAGGGGCCCACAGCATGCGGTGCCTTGTTGTGATGACGTTTACGGCACCGTAATGTAAAGGGAGAAACATTTTAGTCTAAACTTTGTTGTTGTTTTTCAGGAGTTTGGATGATGAGCTTCCTCACAGCCGGAGATCCCGCTCCCCCAACCGACACTACGACCCCCGAGGGAGACAGGAGTACGTCGACGACAGGTGAGAGAGCTGGGCAAAATCATGATGACAGGTGAGAGGGGTGGGGTTAAACCTATACAAGTGCATATGACAGGTTTGACTACACTTTTCATTAGTTGATGTCATTACTTCAACAATTTTTTAGAAGTTTATAATTAGACTTCCTGACTGACATTAGCAGCAGATGTGATATACATAGAGGTAATTCCATAACTGTTACCATGATTTAAACAAGGGTCAAAACATGTCTAAATTATTTGACGGACAGAAATAAATGACAACTGCGTTATTTTGTTAACTGACTCTTTAAACTGTCAGAAAAATGCCTTCCTTCCTTAAATGATCTCTGCATTTTGGAGTTTTCTGTGTTGATGATATAGGTAGAGGTGTTCTGTTTTAGAACTCAGCTATACTTCTTGTAGTTTTTGTAATTTTCAGACTTTCACTTAACAGATGTAAAACTCTGATAAATAATGACCACAGGTACTATCTCACCAAAACAAGTCAGAACTAGAAAAGCACTCAGAGAGCGCAGACCTCCGCCAAGGACTACCCCCATTTTTTATATAAATTGCGATAAAATCAGTCTTCTGGATCAGATCCGGATCAGCCTTTGGAATATGAAAGAGGATCCCATTGTCCATTCCTGAGTCAAATTTCATGGGGTTTGATCAATAATTAACCGAGATATTGAGAAACAAAATTTTTGGCCCCATTTACCACAATGTTAACTAAAATTTCAAAGTGATCCAGAATCCAGGATTTCTTCCAGATCACCCCAAAATGAAATCACTTCTTCCTTTTCACATTTCCAAATCATCAAAATCGGTCCATAACTTTTTGAGTTATGTTGCTAACAGACAAACAAACAAACAGACAAACGCCGGCAAAAACATAACCTCCTTGGTGGAGGTAATTAGAAAAATATGAAAATCTGTCATGTGCACTTTACCATCAGTGAGAGGTGAAAGGGGCGGGGCTTAACCTATGACAGGCAAGAGGGTGGAGTTAAACCAAGGCTGTGTCTGAATGTCCAACCTAACCCCTCTTTCACTACATTGGCCCACAGTATTTAGTAGATCATTTAGTGCATTCATTCACAGAGCCATTCAGACACATAGCACACTACTTTAGGGTCTTGTGACTCTAGTGTCTGGGCAAAAAAATAAAATAAAAAATTAAATAAAGCTTCTAAACCCTGATAAAATTTGATTTCTGTCATAAATAATGATCAGAGCAGACACTGTCACACAGGATCAGAGGCAAACTGACTGGATTATTTGATTTTTTGTCTGAAATGTGGGAATTGTGTTGTGTCCAGTTAAAGGCCTAGTCACCACTGATGCCCACTACTTTTCAAGGTGCACTGTGGGAAATTTTTTAAATTTTGCACTACTTTTTCACCTGCTGGTCACTCGGACACTCCTACAAATGCTGTGGCCTCTAGTGCCCTAAGTGGGGAATAGTGTGGACATTTGGACTCAGCTCAAGAGGCTGTGTCCACACTGATATGAATTAAAGGGCCCATATTATGTTCTGGTCTCTGTTCTAATGAAGTTTCCTCATCACAAACACACCTGGAGTTGTGTGTTTTGATTCATTCACACACGTTTAACACACAAACCTGCACATTTAAGCTGAGTTCCACCACCTTGTGATGTCATGTGCTCCACTATGTTTTTAATCTCTATGCACCTTCACTAGAATCATTTTAAGGATTTCATCCCTGGAATTGCCAATCTCCACTGAGCTAAAGAAAAAAGGAGCTGTTAACTTGAAAACTACTGCTTCATGACATCATGAGGTGGAACAGAGCATATTGAGCTTTGGAGATGTAAGGATACTAAAAAGAGTAACTCAAACATGTGTGAATGAAACAAAACACAACTCTGTTTTTAGTGACACAACATTCTAACTCTATAACATTATAAGCTCGCAAAAGTGAATGTTGCATTATATAGGACCTTTTAAAATGTTTAACTTTTCTGACTGAATAGTTTGAAATACTGGCCAGATTGTATTTAAATAATTTACTGAGATTGCATTGTTCAATATTTTCTCCAATTAACATTTTCTCAATTGTTCTGAAAATACAACTGGCTACATTAACATGCACATCAAAAACCAGATGTGATTTCTGGAGTTATCAGATAATGAATATGTCATGTAAACAGTTGATGTGAGTAATTTGATTTAAGATCAAATAAGATAAACCTTATAACAATGGGGAAATTACAGAGTTGCAATGCAACGCTCAAGAACAGCAGGAAAATGCAAAAATCAAGAATTCCGTATCGTTCAAACATGTGCAGTAAAACTACCAAAATAAAAACAAAAAGTAGGATAGGGTTTTCAAAAGTACTGAAAATATGATACTAATCGATACTACAACTGGTATCGAAAATAGATAATCTTTAACCAAGAAGTGATACTGAAAAGAAATATCATAAGTGAATAAATGTGACCTTCCCTAAACAGTTTCATCCTGAGTTTTATCAGAGCTAGTGTAAGACCACATGGTGTAAAAATACTTGGAGAACTAGGAGTGGAGAAACTCGTCCACTCCAAATTGACTTAGAATGTTTAGAGATGAACTATGCAGTAGGTGACATTACCACTGCACAGCATGAGATGAAATGATTCAAATCCAAATCATTTGTGTCAGTCTCAGCTAAATCCATGTGAAACAGTCAAATGATGGACACGTGTCACCAGGTGTTGATCACATTTCTACTGTGATATAAACATAACAGCGTTGGTTTATCTGCTAACTCTAGTGATCTGACGTTGCCTGTAAATGTAGCCAGTGTAAATCCTTCATATTTAGAATGAAAACATATTCTAGTGGACTCAGCCTTTGTCAGTGCACAGAACACAGCTGTGGTTATGAGATGTCGTAGCTGCTTCTTTTAAATACTTTATAGTCTTTTGATTTGGGTCTGTTTGTGCCATATTCTTTGCTTTGTGTGTTGCGGTTTGGTGCAGTAGTTTTGTGCTATTGTCCATGAAATAAAAAAAGCAATCGTAGGAAGTCACTTTGTTCACTGAAAATATCTTAACATAACAACTATCTGTGTTTTAAGCAACAGATGTTCTCAGAGTAGAGTATAGAGGCCTGTGTATCCAGTACATTCACTCCATTGTGTTTATGGTTGACATGTCGGTTCCAATATTAGAGGTTTTTTTTTTTGTTTTGTTTTGTTTTTCCAATCAGATTTTTATTTTATTTTATTTTATTTATCAATATTTAGCATATATTTTGTTGCACTGCCCCAGTCTGTGTGCCCATAATGTATCTGTCACAGTTTGTCCCACTGCATCAGATGAGTCTTTTTAAACAGACTCCTGAGGAACAATAGAAATACAAGAGACATGAATTAACCCTCTCAGGCTCAAATTAATTTTTAGTATCAGGAAAAATCTGATATTTGGGGAAAATTATAATATTGGGTAGCAATATACAATCCTGACTTTTTTATCCTTTGTAAAAAAAAAAAAAAGAAAGTAGTTTGCACTTCTGGCAGGTCGTTTGCATGTAGCCATTCTTGCACAGTCTGCATCGCCCACGTTTATCAGCACGGATGGGAGAAAAGGCTCCTGAGTTAAAAAAGCTCATAAAATATGGATGTGGAGTAAGTAGGTAATTGGCATTTAGCTGTTGCAAATCTGCAACGCCTGCCTGGAGAGGGTTAAAAGTAGAGTTGTGTGTTTACATCAGGGGGCTGTGGTCTTCAAACATGCCTCCAGCACAGTGGATCATTCAGATGAGTGCAGAAACACAGTTTGCTCTGTGTTAAAATGCACTGTGGTGATGCTGATACTTTGCAGTGGCATCACGCTGGGGGTGTTCTCCATGTTTGTCTATGGAGGACTGTTCAGCAGCTACTATGCTGACACAAGGCATGCATTAACAAAAAAACTGTCAAACAAGTTTTAAGATAAAACTCAAGTAAAATTAAATCCAAACAGCACATTTTCAAAAGTCTGTGATCAGTCCAAGTGTTCGTGATCCTGTTTTGGAGTTTAATTTTCAACAAAAAGGTCACAGGGACTGAAACACTGTTGACTAATACTAGCTGGCATGTGACTGTGATGTTATTTGAGGGGGACCTGTTTAAAGCACAAATCATCTCTTTCTCATCAGATGGTTTTAAAACAATATTAAAGTCTAACTTGAGAGTTTCAGACAGAGCAATGCCTCTAGTTAGCTTCACACCCCTAGAGAATGTTGATGACATCAGCTGCAAAGTATCAATTCAGGTTACAATGGTAGAAATGGTAGAAGGCTGAACTGGGCCAATAAAAATGGGTAGGGGACCAGTTTGAACACCCCTGGTTAACACTCTCATGCATCTAACACTTTAGTTTCCCAGATAAATACAATAAATAAATACATGTTATTATTAAAAAATAAATAAATAAATAAAAAGTATAATCATTTTGGAGCTTTACTACATAAAGTTGTGGGCCTTGCTGTGGGTTTACATCCTCAGTACTGCATATCTGTACTGGCTCCAAAATCCTTCTGGGCCCATCCCTGTTTGTGAGTGTTGTGACTGGACTGGCGTCGGTTCACCTTGTTCTCTTCCCACTTCCTCATGTGTTACTCATCTCCATGGTAACTGCAGTGAGGTCATCATGCTCCACCAATCACAGCGAGGCAAAAGTGCAGAGTGCCTCCACACCAGGTAACACTGGCCTATCACGTCACTCCTCCATTCACTTTCATATGAACCTGTACATGCTGTGAAATAAGGAAGATGGTATTGACTTTGGGCATGTTCAAGTTAAGGTGTAGAAAAGTGTAGTAATAATAAATGTCCACACGAGGGCCCTATTTGACTGTCTGTTATTGTGGCTTAACACTGAAGATGTAGTGTTTAATAGAACAAATCTACTCACATGTGAATGCACTTTTTTATATTTCATTTAAGACACAAATGTTCATGCTCAATGTTCATTTGTCTCATGGATGTTTTTCTCATTTACATAATATCTAACATATCTAGTATAGTGTAGTACTCCCTTAGTCAGGCTAAAATAATTATGCTTTGGAAGTGAGTTAAGAAAGTCAGGACTAAACTAGTTTCATAATAATCCTCCATTTATTAATGATTATAAATCTCAATTATTAAAAGCATGTATTCATAAAATGCATTTGATTCATTGTCCAACCCTAATTGAGATGAGCAGAGATTGAATAGAAATCTGTTTGGTAATGTGAACTCCTAAATAGTCACAGTTATTTTACTGAACATATGAATATGAATGAATAACATTTTTTATATGACAGTGTAATTATAGACTTTTATTAAAATAAAAGCATTTATGTTTATTGCACTGAAAAAGTGTGTCCTTACTGTGAGTGGGCTTGCATCTCCACAAACCTGACTCTTACTTGGCCAGGAGGAGGGCCTCCCCCTGCTTGTTTCCATGGAAATGTATATTAAAATTAAAAACTAAAATTCCACAGTATGGCATAAAACATATTTTTCTCCATGGAGAATGTTCTGAAGTATGGCTTTAAGTTAACTTTCTATTTCCATGGAGTCCCGCAGGTGACGTGCCACCTCCAGAAAGTTACGCAGTGTTGCTTTAAAGTCACACAGTCGTATGTTAAACTGTTTCCTGTTTGTTTTGTTTCTCTGTCCTCTCCGTGGAGTAGTGACCTACAGCCCGCTCTGGACAGGGTTAGGAGCGCTAGCGCCACCTGTCTCACTCCAGAGTCATTCTCACTTTCTCCTCAGGCAGACAGGTAACACTGCTGCCCCCGTAGACCCTCTGTAGTCTGCCTATAGTGCTGGTCCTGTCCTGATCTAGCCCTGGTCTAGCCCCAGTCCTGTCCTGGTCTTGTCCTGGCCTAGACCTGTGTTAGTTGCTTTGTAGTCCTTTTGTAGTCTTCCTGTAGTTCTTGCCTGTGACTGGTCTTTCACTGAATATGTCCCTCCCCCTCTCCCCTTCCTCACTCTCCCTGAGCTTTGCTGCTGCTGCTGCAAATGCTTCTAAAATTGCGCTCAGAGTTCATTCCTGAGGGGTACCTTTGGTTTGTCTGTCTGTAGTTGTAGTAGTTGTTGTAGTAGAGATAGTAGTTGTTAGTAGTTGAAATGTATTCTGTGTCGTCTTAACAGGTGAGTAACACATCAATATAAAGTGTTGCTTCCTCCTCAGAAACATCTCAAGAGTTGTGTATTGTTTCATTCACACATGTTTCAGTAATCCTGCAGTTTAGTCTTTCTCTGCACAGTTCACATCACTCAGTTCCACCTTGTGACATCATCGGGTGGTGATCAAGGAGGAAGTCCATTCACATTATTAGGATCATTTGAGTGCATACATTTTCCACACTAAGATTTTGAGCCCCTGCGCCCTCTGCTGGAATTTGTATCTTGTTTGCTGAGAAAGTAGGGTCGGATTACAGAATTTCTATTCACAGTGATATCTGATCAGTTATTGAAGCCCTAGTCTTGTTTTCATTTGGTTCCGAAAGTAAAAAAATAAATAAAATCAAGTAGATGTAGAAACAAGTTTGAGAACTTGAGAGTAGAATGTGTGTTATAACTTTAAAGGCGCTGTACCAGTTTTTTATTTATTTTTTTATTGTCTTAAAAACCTTAAAAACAGAAACACTTCATGTGAAGTTTGCAGTGGTCCAGAGTTATTCCTCACTTACCTCATGCATTGTGAACATCCTAATTATTCACTGTGTGATTTATAAGCACTTCTCACAACTCTCAGAGACAGAGTTGGCTGTCACAGTAATGCTAACAACAACTAGCATGCTAACTACAGCAGCATTACTTCCTGGTTTGTGGAGGATAAAATCACTTAATAAACCACAAAATGAATGGGAATGGAGCTCAACAGTGAGCGCCCAAGCCTTGTTCCGGAAGTGCACTTCCCTTTCATTTTTCCTGTAGACTTTCAAAAAAAAAAAAAAAAAAGTTTGAAAGCTCAGGAGTACTCTGCTCTGTGGTAAATTGTGGTCATGGTAAGTGTGATTTTTGGACTTAAATCCTCTGTGTTATGGATATTAGTTAGTACTAGGGCTGGGCGATATGGATCAAAAAATATATCTCGATATATTTTGCTATATCTCGATATACGATATATATCTCGATATATTTTCAAGAACAAATAACCCCCTAAAACTGAAAACTGCAAAAACAAATCTGCCAAATTCCACAAGGTCCTTTTTTTTTAAATTTGAAGTGTAAGAGGTCAGCAGTTCATATAGGAAAATTTAAGATTACAAAAAACCCTAATTACATAAATAATTTAACTGTAAAATAAAATAAATAATACATATTTCCTTCTTTTCATTCATAAATAAAACAACTCAACTCAAGCTCATCTTTGCATTAACTCTGTTAACCATCCCATAACCATAACCATGAGCTCATTTAGCAGAAGAAGCTCAGGATGTTCCTTATTTCAATAGATCCATGTTATTATCCAGCAGTGAGGAGCTCTGAGGTTTAATCCCACAATCCACTGCAGATCAAACCCAACGTTTCCAAACACTATTGTACAAGTGACACTGCAGCAGATTATTAATTAAAATATTCTGCATAAATAAACTTTACATTGCTAAAGTTTACAATATATAAAACATAACGACTCTGGAGCCACATCAGCCCGTTTGCGAATAATAATGTGTTTAATGCAGTTTTGCGCACGTGCGTTTACATTTTACAGAAATGAAACTTAAACGCATGGCTCATTTGCATAAACAGCACTTCTCACGCAGCTCAGCTCATTTAGCTTCTTTCGGGCTAAAGGACACGACTCGGTGGAATATGAGGATGTGCTGTTGATGTTCTTGTCTGTAAATGGTGGAAAAGGTTCGTGGTGCTTGAAGCTTTTCACTGGCACCAACTTTCGGCGTTCACGGTGATAGTGAGAAGTGAAGGAGACACGAGCGAACAAAGTCAGGGAGGCGGGGTCGACGAGAGAGAAGGTAAACAAGCGAAGGGCGAAATCAGAATTGAATATAAGCATTATATCGATATATACGATATGTCAGAATTCATATCGAGTTTAAAAACTATCTCGATATATTTAAAATATCGATATATCGCCCACCCCTAGTTAGTACATAGCTGGTTAGCCTCTGCCGTGCTTTTAACCTTTTAAAAGTGTATGGGAAAAGTGAGTGTAAACAGTTCTTCCAGAAGCAGATGAGACTGAGGAGTGGGCGAGTCTGTTGAACTCTGTACTGTAGCAGCTGTAGTGTGGCTCTGTGGCTCGTTGGGCTGTGGCTGTGCATGTGCGCCTCTCAGTGCACTTTAAATGTGACCAGGAGGGGGCGTAGTACACATGTGTGAAGGCCTGTTTTTGTGAATGATGTTCTCCTGTCACTCGTAGACAGTCTTTGTCCCACACGTTGCCGCGGAGACGCCCGGCCAGCCCCAGGATCCTAATCCAACACGCTTCCCCCGAAGATGACAGGTATCCCCCTCATACAGGTGCACACGGAGCTCCACTCTGCCCTGGAAATGATAATAACACATGTGCACACGGACTGTTTCATTCTCTCTTCTTGTCCTTTAAAGGTACTCTCTGTAACCTTTCTGGTGAAGGGTTTGTCACCATGGAGATCATTTTATCTGGAATATTCCACTGTATGGTATTAAACTTACCTACTTTACCTACTTTACTTTACTTTATACCCATTTATCTATCTTTAATGTATTCAACTGCAGGGTTTTTATGGTTATAAAAATACTCAGGCCTGTAGTATCAGCTGAGATAAGTTTAATGCCATACTGTGGAACATTCCAGGCAAAGCAATAACATCTCCATGCCGACAAGAAGGTGCATGATGCACACTCTACCAGAAAAGTTAACTACTGCACTTTTAAAAGATTTTAAAAGAGAATTATGATAACTGTCTGAAAAATAGTAAGTACTGTAAACACAAAACATATAAAGGTTTACAATTCTGGAGTAAAGCAGTAAACCAATATCTAATAACTAAACCAGGTCTAAAACAGATCTCAAATTGACTAAAATCAAGACTATGCCGTGACTTAACATGATAACTCAGTTAAGATTTGGGGACTGCTGACAAAAAGCTGTTATTAAAGACACTGTATCAGTGTATTTTTAGTGTCCTACTGTCCTCTCTTTTCAAACACATTCCTAGGATCCTAATTATTCACTGTGATGAATTTTAATTATTGTTTGGGCCTATTTTCCTCAATTGCCTGACTTAGATGACTCTCAATTCAAAGTGAATCTGTTTCTGAACCCTTTAGAGCACAGACAAATGAGTGGACTCTTTGTGAAGCTGAGCCTCTGGACTTTTGGTCTCTACTGTCCTCTAACAGTCTCTGTACCCTCACTTGAATTGGGAACAAGTTCTACACAGAGGAAAGCCAAATTTCAAATCCCACTTACATGTTTTGGGGTAAATATAAGAAGAGGTATAGCAGGTCCCATGTTCTCATGTCAAAGCTGAAGCAGATCTCATTAAACATGAGATTTAGGGACTTGTAATGAGGCAGGTTGGGTTATGTTTTTATTTGTGTGTTTGGAGTACAAAGTGGGGCAGATGTGGAGCTCTGTGGTGCAGGACGTGAGTGGAGCTGTCCCTGGTGCTGAATCCTCTCTGAGCTGTTGGCAGTGGATGTGATCAGTCCTTTGTTTTACCGTGGCCTTGTTGCTTTTTTGCTGCGTTATACCTGAGTTTTGCTCAAGTTTTAGACTATTTTATTTTTCCGTTTGGTGGCATTCCGTCTTTACTCTGTGCCGTAGTTGGCTGTGGTAGATTTTCAGTCCAACAGTTTCATTGGTGAGTCCTGTAGCTTCTCTGTGCGCTCCTGGTAAAATCGATGTTGTGGTGGTTATGATTTCACATTAAAAGCCTTCATTAGTGCCTGTGGATTAGTGCTCTTTCACAATAAAAACATACACTGGTGGTTTTTCACATTAAAAGCATAATGTGTTTGTTTTCATGTGTTTGGAGAAGCTGCGTGATTCTGCCCTCGGTGTGTCTCAGGGCACAGCACAGGTACAGACTTCATACAACACCATTCATGTCAGTGTTTACATTAGAAGAACAAAGACACTACTCCCAAAATTAGAATATGGTGCTTAAAATGATTGGTTATTAAAGTATTATTAATTCATTTGAGGTGTGCACACAAACAGCTTATTTTAAAAAGTGAGCTAACACCCTAAGAACACGTGGATGATGGAGGCTGACCAATGGCAGGATCCTCACAGAGTCATATTACACTTTGATATATTAATGTACATTCACTCCACCTCATTTGATCCATTTAGCAAAATAAGGATTTTAGGTATTTTAAGTATTAACAGAACAGATTTTTAGTAGTTCTCTTGGTCATTTATACATAACAGTGACATTCCTCACTCCTCATCTTTTCTCCATCTTTCTGTATCTGTTTATCTGTGTGTATTTCTGTGGCTTGATGCTCCAGACTTCAGACAGTGGAGGGTCCAGCTCCGGGCAGGACTGTCCCAGGAGCCAGGTAAGGTTTAGGAGGATGGTTGAAGTGAACAAGCCTCTTGCGTGAATGAGTGGCGAGATGTATTACCTCAACAAACAAACAAACAAAAAAAAAAACAACAAGTGTCCAAGTGACTTTTACAAGCCCAGGTAAGGGTGATGAGGAGGAGAGCTGTAGTCCACTGAAGATGTGCATTGATCATTAAACTTAAAGGTGATGTGGCAGGGGGCTGGCAAAAGCTATCAAACTGACAAGGATTTTAAAACTACCATGTATCAGGGAAGTACTAGTACCAGCAAGTCATTCATAGTTTAACTTAAAACAAATGTATTTGTCTTTTAATTAGTTTCTATACACTTTTAGTCAGGGTTGGGGTTAATAACTTTATTTTCACGCTTTATTTATTCATGGTGGTGGAAAGCTACTTCTGCCAATTTGTGCTTACAGCCCCTCTGACCACTACAGCTCAATGTCACACAAACCATTGTAAACAGATATGTAAACAGGGTGGGTAGTGTCTTGCCCAATGACACAACATGACTGTAAGCACAGTTTGAATGTGAGACTGAACCGACAACCTGGATGTGTCAACAGTGTGTCTTCTCCAGCTCAGTTTGACTGGAGACTATTACAGTGAAATATTGACCTGACACGTCACTGCTGCCTGCACCAACAGCTCATGTGATTTCATGTTGTTGATTTGGTTTGGTTGTTTTTATGTTGACTTTTGTACTGCTCCTGCATGTGGCCACGCTGCTGTGTCTTCTTCTCTGGTTTGTATCTGTGAGCGTGTGAGTGTGCTCATAGACTGACTGTCAGCTCCCTCTAGTGGACAGAAACCCTCACTGCAGTAAAGGATTCCTCTGCCTTTTGTACAATGATTCTGACTTGTGGTGTGAACTTGCCTTCCCTTTATTCTAGATGTGTTTTGTAGATATATATTTGACTCTTTTGCTTTCCAATGCAGTGTGACCCAATACAACATAAAAGTATAATCATTTCATTGGGATTTCAGAATCCCAAGTCCATGTTCATAAAGATTTACATTATCTTGTCTTTGTTGTATCTCCAGGGGCCACCTGCAAGGCGGCGTTCCTGCGTCCTCTGCACCGCGAAAAGTCAGACAGCTTCCTCAACTTCCTCCCAAAAGCAACTCCGTCGAACAAGGTCAGAGCTTCTCGTCTATTTACATACATACTTGCATACATACAGCTTTTGAGTTCAGAGCGCAAACAAAGTCACCGCTGTATCAAAGCAAACATTAGAGACCATATGGTGTACAAATCTCATCCATTGTACTTGATGTTTTCTCTGACGTTTTCTCTGTCATTCTTCTCTGCTACATAAATATAATGTGGTTTTGTTGTCATATTTTAGCGCTGGTAGCAGAGGAACGCGTCCGACAGCTGCAGAGAAGAGTTCACTCGAACAGAATGTCCACAGCCTCAGCCTCAAGTCAACAAGAGCTGGACCGAACGCTCAAACACAAGAGAGAGGTGAGACTGCTCCAATCCAGACTCCATCATAATACCATAATACTACATACAATGAGGTTTCAAACACAGGAAATGTGGAAATACATAGGATTCAGAATTGATTTGGGAGAGTTAAGATAAAACAGAAGTACTCATGGATTTTCTGGGATTTGAAGTATGAATATAAAAATGCGAGATCCGCAGGAGGTGTCAAGAAATATATGATACTAGTATATGGAACTCTGGGCCCCATGGGACTAAAATTGTGTTGGGACACCAGGGAAGAATTGGCGACAATGAATGGGAAACAAGCCCACTTTTGTGTTTTTTTTTCCATTAAATGAAATCATAGACAATGATGTATCTTAAATGAATGAGATGAAACATGACCAACCCTTCCCTGGCACAGGTGTCATTTTGATCATAGATTACACCCGAAATCAGAATCTGGACATCAGATTTTCTTTCATTGAAAAGGCTCTCTGGAGATCTACTATAAAGTGCTATAATAACTGAGTTTCAGTGTAGTGTAGTTTAAAGCTACAATATGTCACTTTCTGGAGGTGGCATGTTGCCTGCAAGATTCCATGGCAACAGAAAGTTAAATCATACTTCAGAACACTGTGAAGATAGATACGTTTTATGTAATTTTTTAGGAGATTATAGCCAAAGAAACTAGCAGCATCAGGCCCTACTCCAGGCCAAATAAGAGTCAGGTTTGTGGAGATGCAAGCCTACTCACAGTAATGACACATGTTTTGTTATATTTTTCAGTGCAACAAAACCAGAATGAAAAAAAAACAAGCTACCAAAAAAAACATGATTCTAATTTTTGGCTAAAAAGTTGCATACTGTGCTCTTTAAGCTTCTTCAGCCCTGAAGAAGTTACTTTGATTAGCGGTTACAGGTTTAGGTTTGCTCCATTTGTTTTATTTGAGATAGTAAAGACAACACTGGATAACCTTTGAGCGCATTGGTTTTTATCTTGCAGATGTACAAGGACCAGCGGCGCAGCAGTGAGAACGTGTCCCACAAATCCTCAGACAGTGATGTCAGCGATGTGTCGGCCATTTCACGAACCAGCAGCGCCCTGAGCAGCACCAGCTACATCTCCATCCAATCAGAGCGGCCAGGACGCTTCAGGTAACCAAGCACAGAGCAGGGACGGGCAGAGGGCAGGACTAAAGAGCAGAGCCAGAGGAGCACAGCCAGAGGAACAGGAGAGCAGACGCAGAGGAGCAGAGTCAGAGGAGCAGAGCTAGAGGAGCGGAGCCAGAGGAGCAGAGTCAGAGGAGCAGAGGAGCAGAGTCAGAGGAGCAGAGCCAGAGGAGCAGAGGAGCAGAGCCAGAGGAGCAGAGCAGAGGAGCAGAGGAGCAGAGCCAGAGGAGCAGAGCCAGAGGAGCAGAGCCAGAGGAGCAGAAGAGCAGAGCCAGAGGAGCAGAGGAGCAGAGGAGCAGAGCCAGAGGAGCAGAGAGCAGAGGAGCAGAGCCAGAGGAGCAGAGCCAGAGGAGCAGAGCCAGAGGAGCAGAGTCAGAGGAGCAGAGCCAGAGGAGCAGACACCTGGCACTCTGGTTTTAACCCAAAACATGCAAATGCAAGTTTAACCCAGACACACAGAAGGAAGAGTCAGATGCACAGGACATATTTCCTACAGGAAGAAAAAGAGTGTGCCTTAACTGAAAAATTGTTGTCCCAGTCACTGCGTCTGTAAGAGACCTCTCTGATTTTGCGGTGTTAAAGCTGTATTCTGTGTGTGTTGTCCAGGCGTGCGATGCGGGCCACAGGCCGCCACATAATGAAGAGCAGTAGTATGAGCAGTGAAATCTACGGCTTGGACCACCCGGACGGCAGCCAATCAGACACAGCGCTGGGCACGTGCGGCAGCGGCATCAAGAAACGCCGCTCCAGCCTCAGCCAAAGAGTGGTCGCCATCCTCCCCTCGAGAAGGAGCCGGAGCACCTCCCAACTCAGCCAGACCGGTCAGAAACACTACACACACTCACACAGACCGGTCAGAAACACTACACACACTCACACAGACCGGTCAGAAACACTACACACTCATACAGACCCATCAGAAACACTACACACACTCACACAGACCGGTCAGAAACACTACACACTCACACAGACCGGTCAGAAACACTACACACACTCACACAGACCGGTCAGAAACACTACACACTCACACAGACCGGTCAGAAACACTACACACTCACACAGACCGGTCAGAAACACTACACACACTCACACAGACCGGTCAGAAACACTACACACACTCACACAGACCGGTCAGAAACACTACACACTCACACAGACCGGTCAGAAACACTACACACACTCACACAGACCGGTCAGAAACACTACACACTCACACAGACCGGTCAGAAACACTACACACTCACACAGACACACAGACATTTAGGTATATGTTTATATAAGTTAGGAAACAGGTTATAGTTAGGTAGGTAGGTAGGTAGGTTAAGGTTTGGGAAATGGCTAAGGTTAGGAAGTGGTTAAGTTTACACTCGATTACGTTAAGGTGAGGAAAATGGATATAGTTAGGACAGCCAGACTGGTCAGAAACACAGAGAACACATGATTAGAGAGTTTGTCACTGTTCACATCAAAGCATTAAGGGTCATTTGAATCTTAAATTATTTAGGCACAATTTGAAGTTTTTTTGTTTTTTTTTGGAAATGACCCAGACAGCTTGGACAGGTGTTTACAGATCACCCCCACGTCTAGGCACTCAAGGCTAAGAAAGCACCATGATTCTTAAGAACACTGTGAAAAATTAAAACTGAAAGTGTGCATTATAACAGCACAGTGCCCTGTCTTAACAGCACAGTAGTTCTATAAGCTCCAGGGCTATGGGGCACTTCTCTTAACAGTGCAGAAAAGTTTACTGTTTCCAAAATCTTTCAGCCCTTGTTTTTATCTCATATATAGTTATATAATAACAGCTACATTGCCAATGCATTACTTAAGTGATGAGTAGTTTATTTTGAGTAAATGTTAAAAGATTTTCAAAGCCAGAGGGTTCTTGTCCATGCTCCATTGTAGTGTTGATCAGCTCTGAGGCCTGTCAGAGTTCTTGATGTTGTTTACTCTTCTTTGTTGATTGTGTGTTTGTTTGTTGACGTGTGCGTTGTGTTCTGCAGAAGCGGCGGGTAAGGCGGCAGACAGACAGAAAGGTAACACTGTGGACAGAGCAGATGATGTTTTACTTGCATGGGGCTGAGCTAGAATGGAGAAGCCCTGACCATCCCATGTAATATAACTCAAATGAGGCGGCTGACCTCTATGAGGCGGCTCAAACTAGATTTAAGGAACTAAATAGCCAACGCCCACGCGTATGCTTGTCTACGTGAAATGTTCCACAGTATGGCATTAAATGTGTCTGGCAGCACGGTGGATAGCACTCTGTGTAGGTCTCCTCTGGGTGCTCCCCTGTGTCTAAAACATGAACAATAGGCCTGTCCCCTCTGGGGCCAGGACTCCTCTGAAAAGAGTCTTCATCTCAGCAGGACTTCTGCTTAAATAAAGGTCAATAACAGAACTTCATCTATCAGCATTTTATTTCATTATGAATGTTCGTGCTCAGAAATACTTGGAAAAGCAGAGAGCAGGGTCACCTCTCCACAGATCTGACCTGTCACTCAGCCTGGTACCGTCACATCTTAGTATTCACTGAGATTAATGCCATACTAAGGAACATTCCTTAGGAACATCATCATGGAGACAAGCAGGTGGCATGCCCTCCACCAGAAAAGTTACACAGTGCTTCTTTTATTAAAAGACAGTTTATAGGCCATTTAATAAGACAACACGTGTATTTAGACTAATCCTAGAGCTAGATTTGACTCTTACTCTATGCACTACAAAGATGTAAAGCCTTTTTCACTGGAAGGTGTAATTTAGCTCTGAAATCCCCAAACCCTAAAGACTGTCCTCTGTCTCCAGCACGCTTCCTTACTCCACCCTCTTCTGTCCAAACCTGTAAATGTGGTTCATGTGTTTCAAAATTAGATTTTCTATTGAAATAATGATGATTTCACCTGTGTACCTCTGACCTGCTCCTCCCTCCTGGTCTCTAAGAGTGGGTGGACTGACTAAGCCATGCTGCCGCCTCTGTCACCTTGCCACTGCACACTTTTCTTGACCAGTATTCACCATTTTGTTCTCTCCAAGAATATTTTTTAAAAGAAAGAAGACATAATAGTTTTTGCTGGTGAGGTGACATTGGCCCTTTACCTGCATGGATTCCCTCATCATTTCAGGCTTATATGAGACAAAGGGCTCAACTGATCTCATCTGAACACAAACTTGACAACGACAATATTCACAGTCCTCTCACAGCCCCACTTTGCTGTGATTCTCAGCTCTCGCAGCTACTGTAGCCACAGCTGCCCTGGAGAAAGAAGGCTACCAATCTGTGCCACCAGACCATCACATTCCTGCTTGAACAGAACATAATACTTACTGTATTCATTCATACTCAGCAAGGCAGCTGAAACATCTTACCCAATGACACAATAATATAAAATACAAACTTAAAACTCCACACACATTTGACCCCGTTGACCTCTCTAAGCCTGACCCTCCCTCCCTGCTCCATGGTTACACATAGATCCAGGGGGCTGACTGCTCCTCTCTCCCTGCTCTCACAGAGGCTCCGGCGGGTAAGAAGGTGAGCAAAGCAGCTTCCAGCTCCATCCAGCGCAGCGTGGAGACTGGGATGGCTGTGGAGTTTCCTCGAGGAAGCACCACCATGAACAGACAAGCCAGCAGGGAATCGACGGACGGAAGCCTCTACAGCTCTGAGGGGAAGTGAGTACAGAAGTTATAAATAATCACTTTCTCTAGAAATGTGACTGATGTCTTATGGTAATATTGTTTTACAGTAACGATAATCGACTCTCACTTGAGTGAAATGTTTGAGTTATTGTCTAGATTTCATTAGCTGTTGGTGTGTGTAGACTGTCAGGGTAATACTGTGTTGATGTGTGCTGACACCCAGTGGTAAAAAACTGTAATGTAATGTTCTTTTCTCCAGCCACATACTGATTTTCTCCACATACTGATTTTTAAAATTTAATAACCTTTTGCTATATTTTTCCCCAGAATTGTTTAATCAGTAGTTGCTGAATGGGTTGTATTTTTGAATACATAAATAATAAACTGATAAAGTAATTTTATTTTTAATGTCTAGTGACCCATGTTTTGATCTGATCAAAAATGTCTGATATCCTTACACAACTGCCACCAAATGGATAGTAAAATAATAGAAATGTACCTTGATTCTTTTTACATCATTATTTTATTATTAAGCATTTAACCAGAAATGAGAAAAAAAACAAAACTCTTTATTGCCATTGTCAGTGAACACAATTCACCAAGTAGTAATTCACTTCAGCGACACGGTGCAACATAAAACACAATACAATTTACAATATAAACTCTGGTCCTTGACTGAAGCTTTGTTTCACACACCTCGTCCCTGTGTCTGAGCAGGACTGCACGGTCATAATTCTATTAAAACTGTCATTTGAATGGACGCAAAACCAAAGACTGTGATTTTTGAAGTACCATCATTTCCTGTTTTATTCTGCATAAAGGTGCAAACACTGTAGTTTAAATCTGTAGAAGCATGTTTTGAAATGAAATGATTCATTTGTTTGTCAGTTCAGATTTTAGTCAACTCTCCTGGACGTGTTTAAAATGTGAACTTTGAACAGAATCTTATTAATAAAACATGAATTGCAAATTTAACCATAATCATTATAAGAAAAATGACAATTTGATATTTTCCCCAAATGGTTCCTCTGTGTTTCTGACCCTGCTCCTGTGTCCTTCTTAGTCTGATCTTCTCAGGGATGCGTCTGGGCACAGACAGTCAGTTCAGTGACTTCCTGGACGGGTTGGGGCCAGGGCAGCTGGTTGGACGACAGACGCTGGCCACGCCTGCCATGGGAGATGTCCAGATTGGGCTCCAGGACAAGAAGGGTCAGCTGGAAGTGGAGGTGATCCGAGCCAGAGGCCTTATCTCCAAACCCGGAGCCAAATCTCTTCCAGGTAAAACAGTCTCCAGGAATCAGACCAGACCATCTTTAGTATAAACCTCATTATAAAAGCCTGATCCCATCAGATCTCAGGAGCTGAGCAGGGCTGGGTCTGGGTAGTACTTGGGTGAGAGACCATTGGGAATACCTGGAGCCACACTGGAGCGGCAGTGGCAAAAACTATTGTTGTGTCCTTTGGCAAGACACTTCACCAACACTGCTTTTTTATGAATGTGATGTGTGTGAGTGATTGTTCTTGGTGGTTGGAGGCCCAGTGGTACAGATTGGCAGCCTTGCTTCAGTCTACCTCTGGGCCGAGTGTGGAGTGAATGAAGAATGTGTTGTGGTCTCAGTCCCAAACCATTATTATTGCACATAATCTACCCTCTGCTCTGTGTGCAAGTGTACGTCTGATATAACATGTGACTCCTCTCCTCAGCTCCCTATGTAAAGGTGTACCTGCTGGAGAAGGGGAACTGTAAAGCCAAAAAGAAAACCAAGATCGCTCGAAAAACTCTGGAGCCTCTGTATCAGCAGCACCTGCTGTTTGAGGAGGGCCCCCAGGGAAAGGTGCTACAGGTCAGTATGCATATACAGTACGATACTTAACCCTGGAGACATATACAGTACGATACTTAAACCTGGACAAAGAAGTCTGTACAATACTATAACATGAGGAGGGCCCCAGAGGAAGGTGCATATATACACCTACTAAAATGTATCCATGTATACTTCACTAGTCGCAAGGACCACTACAATAACACCATGTAATAAAGATATTTATTGCTGGATGATATGGTATGAATATCATCTCTTCTGTAGATAGTGATGTCTTAAGGCTGAAGACAAGTACGAAGAGAGCAGAGACAGACAGTGTTGTCGGGATAGGGTTAGTATAAATAGGGCTTGTGTAATTGGAGGTGTGGTTGAGGTGAGCTGTGGGCGGCTGCAGAAGAGCAGGAGGAGGTTGAGGCGTGATCTTTCTCCTGATCCTCAGTCAATCATTTTAAGTCCCTATGCCCCTATCTGAGGAGGGTCCCCAGAGCCAGGCTTTAAAGGTCAGTGCATACACATACTAAAGGCTTATTTCTGCTCATTTTTCATACACATACAGCGCTGTATGTTCCAAGTGTCATAACCATTACTGCATTTATACTTCCAAATGTTTCTAATGCTAAATCTTTGTTCTGTTAAACAATCGTCAAAGGGCACTAAAAGTCAGTTCAAGAAATGACCAACAGGAACGAAAGAGCAACAAATAAACAAACATGGAGGTGCTCACAGCAGTTTTTAGATTGCATCTGTTGGAATGAGCCTAGAAACATGAAGTGAGAGAAGTGTTTCTTTGTTTGCAGTTTGGTCACTTTTCACAAAGTTTAGCTTCCCCTGTGGAGCTGTGTTCACTACTGCCCCCTGCGGGGAGCACATGTACGGCTCCAGTGTTAAGATTCTACTTGTTCTGAGGAGATGGACCAGATACAGACAGAACCACACAGAGGACAGACAGAAGCATCTATGTGTATCTGTATGCATCTAGAATGTAGAGCAGAAATGAGCCTTCATTTTGATCCATGTATTTGAATATTTCTTTATACACCACTTACAGAAAGACAGCACTGGGTGAGTTATGAACTGCAGAGGAACTTTGGTACCACCAGAAGGAGTCTGTATTTTTCAGTACAGTTTAGCACTAAAGAACTAAATGAAAACAGAAAAGATTCCTTTATTCCTTTCTGTTCCAGGGCTAAAAAGTAGCACAGACTGTGTGTAAGTCCTGTCCTCTCTGTGTGCAGGTGATCGTGTGGGGGGACTACGGCCGCCTGGACCACAAATGCTTCATGGGTGTAGCACAGATTTTATTGGAGGACTTGAATCTTTCCAGCACCGTGATTGGCTGGTACAAACTCTTCCCTCCGTCCTCGTTGGTGGACCCCACATTAGCGCCTCTCACGCGACTAGCATCTCAGACTTCTTTGGACTCAGGACCACCCCCTGGTGTTCGATCCTAGTACTGACCACAGCGCCCTCTCTCTCTTAAAGGGACAGTGACGGACCTTTCCTATTGGCCCACAGCCGAAGAGAGAGAGAGAGCGAGGGAGGGAGGGAGAGAGAGGCCAATCAGAGCTTAGCAGGAGACTGACAATCACGCCTCCTCCGCCGCGCGCCGTTTAGTTTACAAACGTTGAGTTTTTGGTCATTTTTGTCCAGTTTACACCTCAGTTAGCGCTGCACCGTGTTACAAATGACTTTAAATATTGCAATAATGATAGAACGTGGTCTTTGGGTGGTTCATGTGTGAGGATGCGGTGCAGCCCTAACCTCTAGTTACTGTTCTGTTTCCAAGTTGTTTCATTTTTTACAGCACTGCAAAAATAATGATGTACATGAGATTAAATGACAAGAATCCATCATTTTCATCTTGATCTGAGGAGTTTTGACTAGTTCATATTTATTCCCTATTTAAAGCCGCTATTAGTACTTGATTTCTACCATCTTAAAATCATGAAAAACAGACTTAGATCATTTGAAACAGTTTGCAGTGGTCCAAAGTTACTCCTCACTTACTTAAACATTATTAACCTCAATGAGTTTAGAAGCACTTTTCACAACTCTCACCACCAGATCAGAGTTTCACCATGATTTTAATGCTAACTGCAGCTTTAACTTTAACTTTATAATTTGTTGATGACAGTACACAGACTTATTGTGACCTCAAGAGCTGCTTATATCTGTACTGGGGCAAGACACATTTTACTCAAATGCATGAAAAAAAAAAATGATATAGGCCCTTTTTTTTCAAATTTGGCTACAATAAATCAAAATCTTAATATATTTTTTCATCAAAATAAGAAAAATAAATTGAAAGTGATTAAATCCATGTTAACTGGTTTAAACTGCTCAAATCCAGGTGAGTACTGTGAGTTCTTGTCAGTTTTGCTCATATGAAAGTGTATTTTTTGCAGTGCTGTTTTGTTGCACGGTGCTGAACAAAGTGGATTCGTCCACACAGTAGCCCTCAGCCAATCAGAGCGGAGCGAACACAGGAAGTGAGCGAGAAGGAGGCGGGCTCTGCTGTTTTCACCGTAGCACTGGACACACCCACAAGCTCAAAGTACAAACTGTATTTTTGAAATAGATGATTTATATATTTAGATAATGTGGTAAATCACCGGGTTCATCAGAAATAGTCCGACTTTTGAACTTAGACTAAAGTACAAAACATAAAAACATGTAATAGGAATGTAACTGGGACAAAGTATATAGTGGTAGCGAAAACAGAGACTGAAATTTAAATATAAGGCATTAAAATGTCCAAAATGTTTTATTATTTTTAAGATTAACAATAACAATTCAAACTATTTTGGGGTTTCAGATGACATCACAACATTCTCTAGGCCAATCAAACTTAATACAGACAGGGACAGTTAAAATGAAAACTGTATTTTTCAGACTATAAGTCACTCTGGACTAGAAGTCACACCAGCCAAAAACTGCATAATGAATAACAAAAAACATATAAGTTACTGGACTATAAGTCGCTCTGCAGTATAAGCCAAAAAATGCATAATGAATAAGAAAAAAAAAAAACATATAAGTCGCACTTTTTGAAGGAAATGTATTTTATAAAATCAGACACCAGGAACTGACATTTCCTGTTGAAAGTCAAGTTCTAGTAATAACAATAGAACAATAGACTGATGAACAGTTCTTCAGATAAACTATAACATAAACAACAGAACAGAACAAGTTTACCAAACTCTCCATCTCACTCCAAATCACCAAATCCATTCAATTCTTCATCCTCAGTGTCACTTCTGAACAACTCCCTGACCTCCGGATGTAAACAGAGCGCCACTTCCTCTTCTGTGTCGCTGTTGTCAACCTCGGCATCAGTTCCAGTTAGAATTATTCCAGCGTTTCTGAATCCGGGCAGGATGGTTTCGGTGTCACTGAAGTCACTCAAATGTTAATTGTTCAGTGGTGCAGAAGTAAAGGTGCAATCGACTGATGTGATACAGACAGGACAGAGGCTCTTTCTACAGGAGACATGCGCAGTAGAGTCAAGTGACAGTGGTTAGGGTTACGGTACACAAGCCTAGAGCCTCTCATGACTGCCAGTGTGAACATTTTAATACATAAGTCACACTGGAATATAATTCACAGGAAACATCCAAACCATGAAAAAAGTGTGACTTTTAGTCCAAAAAAAAACGATATTGTTCACATGTAGATGTCTGTTGTAATGTAACGAGGTCTAGGTCCAGTCACTGATAAAAACGAACAGATTCATTTGTGAATTTACCTTTTCTCATGGTAAAATCCAATGTAATCAAAAGAGGAAACCATCACTTTCTAGAATCAGAAAACCACCTATATGAACATTTTTGTGACAGAATAAAAAGCAGATGTTCCCAGAAGGGGCAAGAGTGAGTTTTCTCTATTGATTAAAGTGAAATCCAAAATGTTGAACGTGATGTTGAACCTGATTAGGTCTATTAGTGACTAGAGCCAAGAACTCACTGTATTACAACACAAATGTGCCTTTTAACTGTATTCATTTGAGCTGTCCCCATCTGTGTTCAGTATGATTGGATTATAGAATGTTGTGATGTCATGTGAAACCCAACAATAATCTATTTGGCATTCTAAGTTCCACCAGGACTAAACCAGGTCTAAGAGAGTCCTAAACCTGCCCCCGTCCTTTAGTTTGAGAATTCCTGGTCTGAATCCTGTGATGATGCTTTGAGTTTGTGGCTGTGGCAGGAGCTGCGGTTTCAAACGGCAAACACATGTACTGTAGTCTCATGAGCAGAGGAGGAGAAAGCACAAGAAACGAAAGAGAGAAAGAGACAAAAGAGACAAAAGAGGTACGGCTTATTTTGATTTCACACTTTTCCAATGGAACAAACGGCTCTGGCAAAAATCACATCATCACTTTCATTCAGTAGAACTATCTCTTTATTTGGAGTTTTCTCCTAATGCTGGACGTACTAAAAGGAGTTGTAAAAAAACACACCTTGTTTTCATGTTTTATTAAGGGAATAACCAACACATTTTAAATTTAAACAGTTTGCTCACACGACGTTTTCTACTGGTCACCATCTTGAGGACTGATGCTGATTTGAGAGAGTCTGGCTGCACTGATTGCATCACTGTTAATTATACCGAGGTGCCAAATATTCACAAAAAGAAAGCATGGAATACATTTTATAAGCTAGAACAATAGGTTGTAGAATCTTTTAGTTTAACCAGAGCTGGAGACAGTTTGGAGTTTGCTGTGGAACTGTTAAATGCAGATTTATTGACCTTTATGCGTCATATCTGGGCCTGTCCCTGTCCACATGAAACTAAAACTGACTCAAAGTTCAGCATCTTCTCTGTCAGTGTAAATAAACTAAATTCAAATGATTTTTTTCACAGTAGTTTTAGAAAGTGGTGCCACTATTCAGCCCCAAAGACGTGATTGTTTCAGGGTTCCTACGGTGTCTTCAAAACTCTTAAAAGCACTGAATTTATGAATTTGGAAATAATATCTTAAAAACACTTGAAAAAGTCTTGAATTTTTACATCTGGGTCTTAAAATTTGTGCCATATGTAACTTCTCCGTATTGCATTTCTCCTCAAAAGTTTAATTTGTCAACCGCCATTATTTGGTTAAATAATGTCGCCTAAGTAAAGAACGTCGGAACCAAAAATTGAGAACGCAACGCAACTCCGGGTCAAAATTGTCACTGAAGATCATGTGCTACAGCACCACAAAAAACAAGCAAAGCAGAAGGGCGTTAAAAAAAAAAAATCTCAGAACACAAAGTTTGACCAACACCGTTATGTTGTTTTTTAACTTTGGTTTTATGTTCCCGAGGGACACATTTCCTGCTGGAGTTATGAGGAAGTCTTTCTACTCCTCAGATTCCAAATAAATGAGTAGTTTTATGAAACAGACTGTGAAATAGGTATTATTTTTTTTATATATAAATGGTCTTAAAAAGGTCTTAAAAATACTGGAATTAAACTTGAAGAAGCCTGTAGGAACCTGTTTTAAAGCATAAGATTAATATGACGAGTTTGTGGAGCTGATCCCAAACAAATAATGAGAAGGAGAAACAAAATTACTTTCAAAACAGTTACATCATCCTCTGCTCTCCATCTGAAATCACGGCATCATAAAATTCTAGAAGATGGACAAACAACCTAATGATTCATAAGGTCTCCATGGTTCAGTTGGTTCAGGTTGGGATTGGGTGTTTGATGGAAGAATTGGAGGAAATGGAGCTCTCTTCTCCTCACTGACAGTCAGAACTTTCTTGGTTTTGTTGTTTTGTGTTGGTCCTCGAGATGGCGGCCAGTATCACCTGAAGCCTCCCATTCTGCTCGAAGCTTCTGTCGTACAAACAGAGGTTAAAACAGTTTCCAAAGATCATGTCGTTTTAAGCACTGATGATAATATTCCTTCATTATAAACCCCAGAGTGAGTGCCATGACCCTATAGTATATTTTTGTACCACAGCGCCCCCTGCTGCCACAGTTTGTGCGTTGGAAAAGTGTCCCTCCTTGTTTTTCCCCGAGGGCGGTGCTTGACGGAGCAGACTCTCTCGTGACTTCACTGGATTTTGGGTAAAAATCTGTGCCATTTTTCGGTCCAAAAACTGACCCCAAAGTCCGGAACCCTTCCTCGCCCCGACCAGGAGGGGGCAGCATGGCCCAGCTGCATGACTTTCAGTTCCTTCAGTTTCCTTTGTTTTTGAGTTTTTTGTTTTGTTTTGTTTTGTTTTTTATAAAAGACGAGACAAAACGACAAACACTGCAAAACAAAATCTACAAGAGTCAAATGACCTGTGTTTAAAATATTAATCTTAATTTGAGGACTTGGACTACTTTGCATATGTTTACAAAATAAACCTGGAATATGTGAATTGTTTCCACATTGTTCTGACAATTCAAACGGTAAAATTTATGTATGTATGTATTTTTATTTTTTTTATTTGCCTCAAATTGTCCAGAACCAAAA